GCCTTCTGGAGGCCTGCACACCGGCAGCCTCGTGTCTGCCCAGCCCCCCACCACTGCTGCGCATGGCTGTGCCCAGTTCCACGGGAAGCAGGGAGCTCGGACACGGCTTCAACTCAGGATGACCCGGGGACCATGAACGCAAGCCCGCTCGCCATCTCCCTCGGTGGCTACAGTGACCCCGGGGAGGGGGAGGAAGGGGCCTCTGAGAACTTCACCAGGGAGTAGCACACGGAAGGGTCGGAGGGCACAGGCAGAAAACAGGAACTTGTTCAAAGGGAGCTTGGTTAGGTTTGACGGGGCCTTGCCTACCTGCTAAGAGAAGCTGAGGCCCCTAACCCAGTAGAGCGACGTCCCAGAGGCAGCTGTGCCTTTCCTGGGGCGTCCGTTGGCAGCACTGGGCTGGCGTCTCAGGGTCTGGCCCGGCCATGCTGTTTCTCCTCCTGCCTGGGCTTATGCCATGGGCTTTACCTGGCGTGGCCTCCCCCGTGCTGTGCCCTGAGTCCCACACAGCGTCCAGGGCCCGGTTCACACTGCCCCTTTTGGGAAGTGCTTCCTGGATCGCAGCTGCAGGTTTCTTCCAGCCGCCATTGGCTGCTCCAGTGGGAAGACCCTTGTGAATTGGGAGCGAGTCTTCAGGCTGTAATGTGAACATTGCCATGGAAACACCTGGTTCAGGTGGATTGGATGCCACTTTGGAACTGCAGAGCATGACTGACTCATGGTTGTGTTCGTTACCGTTGGGTTTGATCCAGCACTCATTGCCTGCTACATGTGCCCTGGGAATACAGCTCCCGTCTTTGAAAAGCTTGCAGGGAAATGGAGGAGGAGGCCACAGAAACGGGTACTTTCAGTACGGGAGTAGAGGCTCGCGGGAAGGCTGTGAGAGCTCCTAACCCTGCAGGGTTGGGGAGAGGGGAGCTGGTCAGAGAAGCCTTCCTGGAAAAGGTGGCTCCTGAGCTGAGGTATGGAGTGGGAGGTAGCAGGGCCGGAACAGGTGATGGGGTGGGGCAGGTTCCCCTGTTAGGTTTATGAAGGCTGGAACCGGTCTGTTTGCTTTTTATCATATTCCTTGTGCCTGGCGCAGTGCCTCGACGTAGTAGGTGTGCAGCAAAAGGAACAGAACGTCAACACAACATGCAAGCTGTGTTCAGGAAACCATCAGTAGTGCGTGAGATGGGGAGCAGGAAGGGATGAGGCTCGAGATGTAGGCTGGGGTCAGATCATGGAGGGCTGGCCTTGCCGCCTTCCTAATGAGCTAGGACATTGCTTTGTGAGCAGGGCTGGGACACGCACAGTCAGATGTGCATTTTATATGGACTAGGACAGCCTGCTGGAGACTGGCAGGCCACATAGCCAGTGCTCGTCGAGTGAGAGTTTTGGTCACCACCTGCCTGCCACTGTCTCTGCTATGAGTCTGAGAATACAGGATGTCAACTCCATCTTGGACATATTTCTGTGTCCTGTCTCAGGGCCTGTCCTGGCATGGCAGGGCTCCCTGTGGTGGAACAGAGAAGTTGTAGCGGCAGAGACAGCACGCTAAAAGCGCCACTCTGGTACAGCGGCAGGTGGGGGGGCAGCTGTGGGTGCCGGGTGATTGTGCAGAAGTGTCGCCCAGCTCTCAGACTGTGGTCTCTCTAGGAGACCAGCTTCAGGTCAGGGCTGACCACAGGAAGACTGAAGGACAAGGTAGGAGGACAGATTTTTTCTTTTGTTTCTTCTGAGGAAGAAACTTGAGCCAGATTTCAGGTATGTGTGGTGGAGGCCTCGGGAATTGTTCTAAGAAGGGAGGTGGCTGTTTCAGCAGAAATCCATTCCCATCCTGCAGGCAAATATCAGAACACAAGCTCGCTAAGGCTTTCTATAAACCATTTAATACCTCCAGGGAGCTCCCAGGAAATGTGCTGGGGTACCGTTCTCATTTTTCCTTTGGGCAGGGAAACGTCTGCTGTGGCCCACGGGAGACGGCCGTGCTGGACTGCGCCTCACCGTGGCTCCGAGCGGGCAGGGTGCCTGGTCTTCCTTCCTCCTGGCAGGTGCTGTATCCTGCCCAGTGAGGATCCCTAGTTCCTGGGCCCTGTGCCTGCAGGAGCTGGTCCTGGGGAGCAGGGGGTGTTCAGAGCCACCTTCCTGCAGCCCAGGTGATGACAGCAATCACCAGAAAAACGCCATGGAGTTGTCGCTTTGAGTTTTTCTCTAGTATCAAATCGTGGGTGGGGAAAGAGGTAGACAGGAGCCTGGGCATCCGGCCCTCCCTGGGCCCCCCAGCTGCCCTCCAAGAGCTCAGCGGCTCCCTTTCCCGAGTGGCATTTCTGGCGGGGTGGGTGGGATGGCAAAATGACAGACATAGACACAGGCCTCAGCCCACTTCCCTGAGCCTCCACTTGCCAGTAAGGATGGAGGCTCTTAGACTTGCCTGTTATGGAGAAAAGAGTTTGCCCTCTCACTACTAGAAAGAAACCCACTTTGTTCTGGAGGAGTGTGAACCTCCCAAATAAAAGAGTCACAAAAGCAGCTTCTCTGTCCCCCAAGTGGCGCCCAAGAACACTAGGGAAGTGATGCTGTTGCCCCAGCAGCCGTTCGTCCCGGACAGCCGGGGAGATAGAGACCCCGGGACAAAAGTGTCTTCCATCCTGCCGGGACCTGCTCACCATTCTAGTGGGGAGGCCTAGTGGCAGGAGGGACAGTGACAGGGATCTCTGGTGGCCAGGAGATGGATGGTGATGATGGTATGGGGTCGCCATTTATTAGCATAACCCTTTTACAGGCATTGCTCCATTCAGTCTTGCTGCGGTCCTGCCGGGTGGGAGCTGGGCTCGTTCTCCCTGCCGTGCGGAGGAGCAGCCCGAGCCCGCACAACTGGCGTGTGCAAGAGGCTGGACTGTCCTGATGAGGCCAAGGCAGGCCTGCCCGCCTCTGCCGCTCCTCCTGGTCTTCGTCTTCAGAAGCCTCAGTTTCCCCATGTGTTAAATGTTCAGGGTGGCCAGTGAAAGGCCATTCGTAACCACCTGAGACACAAGTGGTCCTAGGCCCTGCGACAGCGGTCTTCATTCCCTGGCAGCCCACCCGGTGCCGGCACTGTGGTGTCTTCGCGGCAGCCCCACGAGTTCGTGCAAGGTTGCTGTCCTTCACGTTTTACGTGAGGACACCCTTCTCCAACCAAGTGAGCTGATTTGCCCCAGTCCCCACCACCAGTCAGTGGCAGAGCTGGGCTTTAGACCTGGGCTTTTCACAGCCACCCCGTGGGGACCAGATGGGAGGGAATTCAGCAAGGTGGGCCATGTGGGGGCTGCTGTGGGTGGTGGCCCCAGACGCAGAGGGCTGGTGACCCTCCCCACAAGGTTGCCTGCTGTGGCTCTGCAGGGTGGCGGCCCTTGTGGGCAGCTGCTTTTCTAAGGTGCAAAGGGAACCGGCCACTCCCAGCCCTGTCCCGGCCAGCTGGGCCCTGGACCTCCCGGCTGGGCGCCCCGGGCTCTGTGACCAGGTGCGGCCGCTGTGACGCGGCTCTGCTTGCCTGGCTCTGATGGTGGACGCCGTGGGCGGGGTTGGGGGCAGGGCCCAGCACTGGGGCAGGACCCTGATTTCCCCAGGGCCTCATGCGTCTCTGGTGCGGCCAGGCTGGATCCTGAGGACGGTGAGCAGGTGGGGCCAGATCTCTATTCCTCTGGGCTTTCCGCAGTGCCACAAAAGCGGCGGCCACGGCCGGCCCCCGGCTCCTGGCTGCTGGGTTACACGGCTAGCTCTGGCGATCCCTTTTACAATGTGAGCAGATTCCATTTCCCTCTCCTCAAAACTGGTAACTTCCGTCCTCTTTTTTACTGTCCCCTTTGCAAACACTGGCTCCAGCTTATCCTTTAGGGCTCATCCCTTCCATTTAGATACTCTTGAACTTTTTCTCTTTAGCTGAAGATTGTAAATGCTTTCACTAACTGCTGGCTTTCAGTGGAGAGCATGCATGTGGGCGAAAGAAGTTACGTGTGAGTGAATTTATGGGGATCGTTTATATCACCAATGCCATATTGTGTCCAAGCTAAGACATCATTGATTCTAAGATACACCAACGCTCCTTGTGTCGCTCAGAAAGAAAAAGCTGCCAGCTGAAGCATGCTAGCCTCTGTAAGATGCGCCCCAACTTCAGGGATATTGAGCTGTGAAAAAAATGTGCATTTAGACTCATTAAAACTCAGAATGTGGAGATGTTTATGAGTAAAACATGGAAGAGTGTTTATACTAATGAGGCAGCACAAGTACTAAGTGAGGACAGTTCCAAACCCACCTTGTGCTGTTAGGTTGAGGGTATCAACAAAGTGGCAAAACCCAAGAACAGCCCCTGCCTGGCTCAGTGTGCCTGGGACATTCCGTGGAGTCCTGGCTGTTGTCACTGACGGGAGCTGGTCCCGCCTGGTCCCAGCAACCACGTGGGGACTGTTCAAGAAAACGCAGTGCTGAACCCCTTCCCTGACCTACTGAGTTCAGGTCTCTGGGGGTCGGTCCCAGGATCCTGTGCTTTATACAGCCCGGTGCCCCACCCCCACCTCATTTCTAGTGAGGAGGTCACCCCCTCCTGGGTCACAGAGGGGGTGACCAGGTGAGGGCAGAACTCGAAGCTGAACAGCATTATCAGACTCTGCAGCCACCAGGCCAACCCCAGGGTCTGTCTGCTCCTCTCTCTCCTCTTCGCTTTCATGGTGCGCTGCCCACGACAGCGGGTCCAAGGCCGTAGACTGCGTGTCCAGGCCCGGTCACAGGTGCACCCTTAGCCTTGGCCTGCGTCACACAGCCTGAGTCCAGGGCCTTCCCTTTGATGGATGGATCAGTGACTGTAACACATGTTGACAAGCACCTACTAGGTGCTAGACACTGCCCCGGGTCCTGGGGACCTTCCTTGGCTTCCCTAGCAGGCTGAGTCTCCCCAGGACCACGCTGGGGGGGACACTGCAGGGGCCACCGCAGGGCTGGGCTGCCCTCCTGCAGCCCCGCTGAGGCCGCCCCTTTCCCCGCAGGGCCTGTGGGAGCAGTGCCAGCTCCTGAAGAGCACCTCGGCGTTTGCCCGCTGCCACCCTGCGGTGGACCCCGAGCCCTTCGTGGCCCTGTGTGAGAAGACTCTGTGCACGTGCTCTCAGGGGCCCGAGTGCCTGTGCCCCGCCTTCCTGGAGTATGCCCGGGCCTGTGCCCAGGAGGGAGTGGTGCCGTACGGCTGGACCCACCACAGCATGTGCCGTAAGTCACCTCCACGCTGGGCACCAGCAGTGTCTGGGTGGTGTCATTCGGGGTGCTTTGGGGCTGTCAGGAGCCTGCACCGTTACCACACCGTGGCAGTTCCCCCAAAGCCGCCAGTTTCCCCAGGCCCACTTCCTGAATGGCTTCTGCCCCGGCGACCTGGTCCTAGGAGCCTCCTCCCTGAACACGCCTCAAGGCCCTGGGCCCTGCCTCTGTCCTCGCCCCGCGCCTCCCTGGGCGCCCGTGGCTCCCTGGGGAAGTCCGTCCCCATCTGCTGGACTCACAGGATGTTCTCTGCTGCCCACTCGAGTCTCTGCAGCGGCGATTTCAGTTTATGTCTTCGCCGTCCGCCTGTCTGAATTGACGAAGAGCAGGGAGTGGGCCCGCCTGTGCTCGCGGGATCTGGAGGCACCAGAGGCTTTTATTAAGCTCCTCCTTTTATGGAATCAGCCTCCTCTCCCCGGCTCGAGGCTCACCACCCTTTCTGCCTTGCCTCGTGGGCCATGCGCTTCACCTTCTGGTCTCCTTCAGTCCCCAGTCATTGTCACTGTCCCCAGATTACTGAGATTAAGTAGGGGCTTCTCCCGTCACCTCGCAAGAAGCCTCCTCTCTCCCCAGGCCTTCCAGTGAGCGAAAGCCGTGCAGCTGGTCTGTGACAATCACACAGATCACGCACCCAGCCGCCGGCACCGTTGCCTGCACGTGTGTTTCAGCGTGTGGCAGACAGCTGCTCGGTCCGCACTGTCCACCTTGCCGCGGGTGCGGGGAGGAGGGTGTTAGCAGCTGTCTCTCCTCTGTAAGGCGAAGGCTGTGTTTTTAGTCTCTGAAGGTGGGGCGGGGGAGATACCTGACGTACCTTGCTCTGGGGCAGTTGTTTGGGTCAGAAAGCCCAGAAAAGTGTGCTGTATGTCCTAGTCCCTCAGTCTGCCTGTGTGTCAACTAGCCACGGGGTAGAGAGAGAGAGAGAGAGAGGAGAGCCGGCCCTTGCCCGGGAGGAGCTGGGCCTGGGCCTGCAGCAGAGGGGAGTGAACGAGAGTCGCCACGCAGGCTGAGCAGGCCAAACCCAGAGTGCCCTGTACTGGGCGGGGTATTCGATTGGGCCAATTTCATGGACAGGAGGGGCCTTCAGAGGAGGGATGTGAGGGAGGACATCGTTGGCTCCTTGCTTGGTCCCAGGAAGTCATCCCTTTTCAGACTAGAGGAGTTTAGTGTTGCCCTGAAAGGCTTTTAGGTGAAAAGGTACAAAAGAATCAGAATAGGTGACGGAGGGGAGGGGTGGTGGTCCAGGTGCCCCATGGCTCTTAGCCAGGGCCTCATGAGATAGAATTGCCTTCTGGGGAGGGGTCTTGGAGCAGCATGGGGGACGCTGGGGCTGAGATGGCCCCTGGAGTCCTGAAGACGGGGCTTGGGGGTGGGGGAGTAGGGCAGCCAGCGGGCAAAGGAGGCTGTGAGTCCGGCATGGCTTGCAGGATGCCACCCTGGTGGGAACCGCTCTGGGAGACGCCTTTGGTTTTCCCTTTCAGGCCCGGCATGCCCTGCTGGCATGGAGTATAAGGAGTGTGTGTCCCCTTGCACCAGGACCTGCCAGAGCCTGCACATCAATGAAGCGTGTCAGGAGCAGTGCGTGGACGGCTGCAGCTGCCCTGGTAATGAACTTCCCGCTTTATTTACAAATCCGAGACCCTGCCAGTGCCCCTGGCTTTGGGAAGCGAGATGAAGGCCACTTGTGTTTGTTCCCCCTTGCTGAAATGAGAGGCCTTTTATTTAGTTTTTAAAAGTCTTTGTACAGTGTGATGAAGATTGAGCTGGTCGTTATTTTTAATTTATGTTTTCCTGTTGTACTGTACCCATGAAAGCACTTGTGTCTAGGGAACCAGGAGGATGGTCTGGGCCCCAACAGTGCTTTGTCGGGAGCTCGTGGCCTGACCTGAACTGCAGTTTGCTTTACTCAGTGAGGTGTCAGGGCATCGGTCTGGGAGAAAGATCTTTAAAAAGTTCCCTGGGTTTGCCCTGTGAGCTCAGCTGAAAAAGGGCTTTGTACTAGAAAGTCTTTCTCAAGGGAGACTGTGAGCTTGGGTGAAAAACTGTTTAATTACTGAGAGTGAGTTCTGAGTGTGTCTTGACCCATAACTTGTGTACTAGAAAACCTTGGGCAAATCTCTTGACTCCATTTCTTCACCTGGAGAATGGAGACCAGTACTCGCAGCGCTGTCAATGTGGAAGGCAAACGTCGCCGGACAGGTGCTTTGAGCTTGCTGGAAGAAGCCCGAAGCTGATGATCAGCCATGGTCTATGGTGGTGAGGTGACGAACGATGATGACAATGTTGAGGTCTTTGCTTTGCTGTCCTTGAACGCAGAGGGACAGCTCCTGGATGAAGGCCGCTGCGTGGAGAGTGCGGAGTGTTCCTGCGTGCATTCCGGGAAGCATTACCCTCCCGGCGCCTCCGTCTCGCGAGACTGCAACACCTGGTACTTGGGGCCACACGGTGTGGGCTGGGAGAGCTGCCGGGGCTGGGCGAGGGGAGCTGGGGCCGCAGGTGGCGCAGCACCTGGCCGGGGCTGAGGGAGAAGAGACTGAGGTGGGGGTGGGGGTAGGGGTGGCAGGCACCAAGGGGGCCCAGGATTACATGACAGGTAAGCCCAGAAGGGGGGCTCAGGGAGGGCAGGGTCCTGTACACACACATCTCTCGCTGTCCCTTCAGACTGTGCTTTGATAAGTGACCCTCTCCCCGTGAAGAGGGACCATATAGCAGCACACAGGCCCTTCTCTACTTCCGTCCCTCACCTACTGGGCAGTAGGAAGCAGCAATGCCCATGGGAACTTGTGCACGTGCGGTCTGTGGCTCCCTGCAGTCGGCCAGGCCCATGGCTCCCGCCTCTGCTTAGCTCAAGTCATCCCGGGGAGCTCCTCTGGGTGTCACCTCTGGCTGGCTTTGCCTGTCCCCTGCACAGCAGAAGCAACGACTCCTCTGTGGTCTCCAGGTCCCCTTTGCTGTCTCTCCCTGTGCGGCAGCCTTCGGCGCTGGCTGGGCCCCTGGGGTCTCAGTCGGCTGCCGGACTCGTCCCGGGCTGGAATTGCCCTTTCGACAGCGCTGCCTTGCTCTCTGCCACCGTCCGTGCGTGCGGCTAGGAATGAGATTTCTTAGTGCCTGAGAACATTTTCAGGGACATCAGATACTCTAGTTTTTCTTTCTTCTTTTTCTTGGTCAGGGTTTCTTCCTTTTGGCAGTATCTCTAAGATTCCTTTGTGGCCAAAGCCCTGTCCTGTACAGCTGTAACCTCATCAAGATCCCTCTCCACCAGCTCCTTTCTTCTCCCAGATCCCTTCCTTTGGCAGCTGCAGTAACGGTGGTGAGCCCCAAATCCCTCCGCGCACCGTGCGTTTGCAGGGCTGCCCATGACCTGTGCTTCCTCCCCAACAGCATTTGCCGAAACAGCCAGTGGATCTGCAGCAATGAAGAATGCCCGGGTAGGTGACCTCTTGCTCCTGCTCTTCCTCCCCTCTCTGAGTGAAGAGACTTCTCCTCTCTTACCAGACCGGGGGGCGGGAGCCACACCTCAAGCCAGCGAGAGCTGCCCCCTCTGCGCAGGTTGAACATAGCCACCTGACCACCGCTCTGGTTTCAGACACCAGCTGTGCTAACACACCCGTGGGCCAGAGGAGGGGCCCTGCTGCAGCTGAGAGGGGACAATGCACCTGGGCTCAGGGGTTATTACCCTTTTCTCATCACCTGTTTATTCAAAGGATTAAGTATGACCCGTACAGTCATGACCGACTACACAAAGACATACAAGTTCTTTGGAAAATTAAGAGGAAGAAGGGCTGGCCTGGTAATTCTTTAGGCTTGAAGGTGGAGTTTTAATGTAATTTTCTGGCATGCTTGATATGAAGACCGTGGCGTGGTCCGAGAGCTAGGAGAACCAGGTCACCGAATGGCTCTGCCTTGGAAAATCTGTTTAGGAAAAGTTGTTTTACAATCTCTGCTCTTTGCTTTCCTCTCTGTGTGGCCCCAACTCTATTCTGTTTACTGCAAACTGTGCCCATTCAAAGATCCCCCCCCCCCCCCCGTGACCACACCTTTCCCTCTGTGGTGGCTCACATGATGTTTTCTCTGTGCTGGGCACCATGCTGAGCACTTTACACGTGTTACCTCACTGTTGCAGTCTATGACGCAGGTATAATTTATTCTCATTTACAAAAGAGGAGACACACCCAGAGAGGTTAAATCATTTGCCCAAAGTCACACAGCTGCTAAGAGGCAGAGCCAGGACTCAAACTCACAACTGCTTAATTTCCACCTTTTCCCTTCCCTTTTCTTTCCTTTTTAGTCCTAGCCTCTGGTGGGCCGCCAGAGGGTTGAGCTTGGATACCCAGGATCAGATTTAAGGCCTGTGGTTTAAAGGCTTTAGGGCCACTCACCACCTTATCCAGTGCCCCTTGCATTGGGAAAATTCTGGAACTAGGTGGAAAGTGGGCACTACCACTAGGTCAATTACTCTGGCCAGCTAGCCAGGTTATCTTTTGTGCAATTCTTGAAGAGAGCAAGAAGGGCAAAAGATTGCTTTTGAAAATGATGTCTGTGCTACATTGTAACATAATTACACTCTGTGAAAGACATGAGTTGCTACAACTAACATGTGAAAAAAATTTTAATATCAAAATAATAAGCATTTATTGTAAAAGACCTGTGAGCCATAGTGGGTGGAATTAAGAATTCAGTTTATTGTGTTTTTTCAGATTGACTATCAGATTAGGAAGTTGCAACTATCGATTCATCCGAGCACTAGCTGAGCATCCGCTGTGTACATGATGGACTGCTTGGTCTGGGGCATATAGCACAATTCCCTGGCCTTCAGTTCAAAATCTAGAAGATAACTTTGTTGAGGATGCACGATGTTCTCTTGATGCCTTGATGGAAGACAACCAGTTCTAATTCTGCCTACTGAGTGGTTTGATCTTTTCCTAAAAAAACCACTAAGCTCTTCTCTGTACTCTCCAAGTCCCAGCTCCGACCTTCTTTCTCTAGTCCTGGAGTTTAGTTGATCATTGCTTCCTGGTACAATTCCGTCCAAGGCACATGACTAATTTCTACACCTTACCTCATGACTCAGCAGGCAGTGGGGCTGTCTTGTGCTCCTAGTGTGGTAATTGCAGGTAGAGGAAGGTTCTGGAAGGGGATATGCTTGGTTCTGCTTGTAAATAAAGAGCAGGCTGGGGCTTCTTTGCAGACCCTAAAGGAGTGGGTGTTGTGAATCTCAAAAATAGAGAAGTGGGTTTTGAGTCTCTAAAATAAGGTGAGAGTGTATTACTAATCTATTGCTAGGTCACAAATAATTCCCTAGGCTGGGCGTGGTGGCTCAGGCCTGTAATCCTAGCACTCTGGGAGGCTGAGACAGGAGGATTGCGCACGGTCAGGAGTTCAAAACCAGCCTGAGCTAGAGCGAGACCCCGTCTCTACTAAAAATACAAAGATATTAATTGGCCAACTAAACATATATAGAAAAAATTAGCCGGGCATGGTGGCGCATGCCTGTAGTCCCAGCTACTTGGGAGGCTGAGGCAGGAGGATTGCTCGAGCCCAGGAGTTCGAGGTTGCTGTGAGCTAGGCTGACACTACAGCACTCTAGCCCAGGCAACAGAGCGAGATTCTGTAAAAAAAAAAAAAAAAAAAAAAAAAATTCCCCAAACCAAGCAGCTTAAAACAACAAACCTTGTCTCACAGGTTCTGTACACTAAGAATTTGGGTCTGGCTTAGCTCAGCGCCTCTGGCCCAGGAGCTGTCCTGAAGTTTCAGCCGAGCTATTGCCTGGGGCTGCAGTCTTATCTGAAGGCTTGGGGGGTAGTGCGTGGGATGGCTGTGGAGCTCACTGGCATGCTGGTGGCAGGCATTGCTGCCTCACCTTGTGTGCCTCTCCCTGGGGCTGCCTCGTGACATGACAGCTGGCTTTCCTGGGGCGAGTGACTGTAGCGTGAGTAAGAGCTCAGCCAAGACAGATGCCACAGTCTTTTAAAAACCTGATCTCTGGAGTGACACCCCCACTTCTGCTGTCTTATGTTCCCTAGAAACAAGTCAGCATAGCCAGTCTGCCCTCAAGGGGTGAGGGGTCACACAAGACATGAATATAGGAGGTGGGGACCCTGGGGGCCGTCTTGGAGTCCTAGCACAGAATGCTGTGTATGGGCAGGGGGAGAAAGAGCCCAGGAGGGCCGTGGGCTGGGCTTCCTGTGACACTCCTAGGCCTTCATTGCTCCCTGCCATCTCTACTACTAGATAGGAGTTAGGGCAGACTGGGGCAAAACTGTGGCCTCCCATCGCCTGCAGACTTCCCTTTCTGTAACCCTGAGCCTCTCTTCCCTTCCTCTGCAAGACACTGTGCCCAGGGAAGCTCTGCTAATGTAGTTCCCATTGAACTATAAATGCTTGGTTTGATAATGCTGAAGCAGCATGCTTGTTAATAGAGCCTAGTCCTCAAATGAATAAAGCTCTTGTTATAGAATCTCCTAGTGGAAGCATGCAGAAGGTTCTTTTCTAGAGGTGGCAAGGGGTGAGTGGAAGCCTTTTCATTTGTGTCTCAAATCCCATAAGCCTGTAAAGGTGGTGGAGGGCTGGGAGCACGGGCTCCGGACTCAGCCAGCCTGCTTGGAATTCCAGCCCCACCTCTTCCTAGCTGGGTGGCTTTTGGCAAGCTACTTAATGATTTACAGCCTTAGTTTCCTGGTCTGTGAAACAGGGACAGTAACAGCAGCTTTATCCCACGGCTCGTGTGAGGCTGGTTATCAGTCAACACACAGCAAACACTCAATAAACGTGAGCTGCCTTCGTCTTCACAGAGCACAGAGGCAGCCGTTTCATTGAGCAGGGCCAGGGAAGGACTGAGACACAGGGGCCCACAAGAGCCTGGCATGGGGAGGGTGGTGTGGGGGTTGGCTGGGGCAGGTGGGGCAGGAGGGTGGGACCTGCCGGGTCATGAGGGGAGGCCTAGACCTTGGTGTAACTTGTTACTTAGTTCATGACAACTCCTGATGGATTCTAACATAGCCCTATAATTTGACCTTGGGATTCAAGGTCAGTCTGTTATGAAGTCTCCATGAAGGAAGAGAAACCCCACGTGGCTGGCTAACAGAGACTGTGATGAGTGACCCAGGGCAAACGCCTCTCCCGCAGCGGGATGTGTTCCTAGGTGCCTGGGCGTGCCTGGGGTTTCTGACTCTCTGAGTTTCCAGCAAGGCTCCAGCTTACTGTCCCAGCTTGTCGTGGGTTTCTGGGGTTTCTGGGGTCAGGCCTGCTTCAGGCCAGGCTGATGTACCCTGTTTCATAGCCAAGGCCTCCCTCCACCTGGTCTCTGTATTCAGATCCAGCTGTCCCTACGTCCTATGCACGTGTTCACTTGTGCCCAGGATCAGAAGGACATCGGGCTTGGCCCTAAAGAAATCTGCCCACGGGGCGGTACTGAGTGGTGCCAAGTGCCGTGGGCTCTGCCTGGAGCTGGCTAGACTGTGCTCTGGAGCAGGCCAGACTGTGCCTGGAGCCGGCCAGACTGTGCTCTGGAGCCGGCCAGACTGTGCTCTGGAGCAGGCCAGACTGTGCCTGGAGCCGGCCAGACTGTGCTCTGGAGCAGGCCAGACTGTGCTCTGGAGCCGGGCAGACTGTGCTCTGGAGCAGGCCAGACTGTGCTCTGGAGCCGGCCAGACTGTGCTCTGGAGCCGGGCAGACTGTGCTCTGGAGCCGGGCAGACTGTGCCTGGAGCCAGGCAGACTGCCTGTACTCAAACCTGTTTGGCCACTGTGGGACCCTGGGTGAGTTTCCCTTCTCTGTGTTTAGTTTCTCATCTGTAAACTGTGAATAATGTTGGTTGAGATTATGTTATTGTGACTTAGAAGCAGGCTTTGTTGAACGTTTGCATCTGGAGGAGTCTGAGTGGCTTTGCTAAGGGCCTGCGGGCTGGCGTTTCTTTGGTGAAGGCTGTGGCGGTGGGGTGGGGAGGCGGCACAAATGTCCCCAGCAGAGCAGCCCCGTGCAGGGCTCACTCGCTGCAGATCAAAGGGTTTGCTTAGAAGAGGCAATGTGCTCCTGGCAGATGAGGGGTTTCTTTTTGTTTTTCCATAAGGGAGGATCTTTATTCCTGTCGGAGTAGATCTGCTGTAGCTTTTGGATGTTCTAATTTATATGCTACTTTAAGAATCAGTCGCCTTTTATTTCATTCACCAAACGTTTAGTACCCACCTGTCTGTCTGGTGGTGGGCCCGCTATCCGCGGGGGGCTGCCTGTTGTGGGCTAACTGACTGACAGGGAATATTCTAGGTGTCCAGGTCTGGGCAGGGGGTGGGTGAGCCTGGCCACGTGGCCTGTTGGATGTTCCAGCGCCTGTGCCTGAACACTACCTGGCAGCTCACCCATCCGTTTTCCCGGGTTTCCTGTGTTTGCAGCTCTGTCCCTCAATTGTACCAAGGAGATAAGCTAAGTATAATATTTAGACTTCTGATTCCCAAGAAACTCGGGAACACAAGTCCATGTGGGTCAGAGCAGGAAATCAGATCAGAGGATTAGATTCTAGCCCTGAAAGTTTTGCTTTAGAATATTTGCACGTTTTCTCACTGACCCCCTTTTCCTGGGCATTGTCAAAGATAATAGAAGTCCAACAACTTGTTCAGATAAGAGTGCTCTTGAGAAAACAGGGAAAGTTGGGGGAAGATCCCCACCCATTTCACTGCAACAGGGTCACGGTGTCTGACACAAAGGACCACATTGCTCTGTGTGTAGTAGAATGATGGTGATTTCTGAAAAATTGTTTAAAAAGGCTTTCCTGTGGCCTTACTGGCTCTGACATTCCAGCACATGCACTGTGAGCTGGGGCGACCCTGGCCCCTCTCACTGCCTGCTCTGCTTGGACTTCCGCGCACAGGCGCCTCACGCTCGCCCTCCCGGCGGGGCAGTGGAGGGGGTGATGCTGCTGAGAACCTCATTTCACCTGGGCTGGATGTGCCCTCCTGGCCCGTGTCGTCCTGGAAAGGGCCAGCAGCCCTGGGACCAGGCAGAGGGCCATGTGCCGCTCGCCTGGGGCTACTCACCCCATCCCTGCCTTCAAACACACACCAAGAGCAGGGCCACACCAGGGTCCAGCCAGGCCCTGCCGTGCCTGAGTGCACACTTGGGCATGAGGTGACAGGCAGGGGGCACCTGCGCAGTTTGTCCTTGGCAGATGGGCCGCTGACTCTCCTTGTGGCCTCTGGGGACCCCCTGGCTATGTGACAGGGCCCAGCCTCAGTCCCTGGAGAGGAACCAGGTGGGGTATTTTTTGGAGGACACTGTTAGGGGGAACTTCAGGTTTCCGCTGCCTGTGTGGTTCGGAGGTCGGGGAGGCAGGGTGCGCAGGGAGGGCCCCCTCCTTTATGGCACGGCCACGGCACGTGCACACTCTCCTTTTCTGTGGAGCAGATGGCCAAGATGGGAGGAGACAGAGGAACACGCAAGGGGAGCTTGGGAGGAGACCCAGATGCCCGGGTTAGCTTTGATGGGTCGATTGGAGGCCCCGAAGATGGGGTTGCTCCAGGCTGGGAAGGTCAAAGGGGACTCGCTGGAGACGCTGGTGGTGGTTTCTCAGGGCTGACACCTTCCGGCATGTGCGATCCACAACTGGAAGTGCACTGGGCCAGAAGTGTGGGGCCTGGGCCGCAGCCTGGGGGAGGCGGAGTGGTGACTGGGGAGGGGCAAGCTCTGGGCTCTGAGTTGCAGGTGACAAAGGGGAGTCGAGGTCCCCTGTCCCCACCCACAGATGTGCCAGCCTGGGCTGGGGAGCTGGCCCTGCAGTGCTCAGCGCTGCCCAGGCGGTGGTGACATCATGGGCAGATGTCCTCCCGGTCCCCCATTGGCCCCAGCGGGAGTCACAGCAGAAACTTGCCTTGCTGGGGCAGAGGAAGGAGCCCCTGACTTTCTACTGCTGAGCTCTGAGACTGTCCCTGCCTCACCCTCCCACCTCACCCTGCCTCTGCACCACTGGCTCTGCTCACTGGCTTCCGGGGACTCTCCTGGGGTGGGGCTGTGTCCCGGGGTCCCCACATGCCAGTTCAGAGAGAGCCGTGCTGCCGGACAGCCTCCCTCTGGTGGGCGCTCTGTGGGCGCCCACACTGCTCTCTGCGGCTGGCCCCGACTGGGGGAGGCACTGGACGAGTGAGGGAGGAGTGGAGGTGCAGGAGCGGGGTTCCGGCCTGGCTCGCCACCTTCCTAGTGGCCCATCTGTAAAGCCAAGCCTGGAGCTGCATGGCCCAGCTCTGACATCTTACCGTTTTAAGAGCAGGACTGACTTAGAGTCCCCTTGAAAAACTCATGTTTTGTTTTTTTTTGTTTTGTTTTTTTGAGACAGCGTCTCACTTTGTTGCCCAGGCTAGATGCCGTGGCGTCAGCCTAGCTCACAGCAACCTCAATCTCCTGGGCTCAAGCAATTCTGCTGCCTCAGCCTCCCGAGTAACTGGGACTACAGGCATGCGCCACCATGCCCGGTTAATTTTTTCTATATATATTAGTTGGCCAATTAATTTCTTTCTCTTTATAGTAGAGACGGGGTCTCGCTCTTGCTCAGGCTGGTTTTGAACTCCTGACCTCGAGCAATCCGCCCGCCTCGGCCTCCCAGAGTGCTAGGATTACAGGCGTGAGCCACCACGCCCGGCGAAAAACTCATCTTTGGCCTGGCGTGGGGAAGGATGTCGGTGGAGCTTCAGGGAGAGGCACCCTGCTTGCATAAGCCTTCTCCCTCTGCCCCCAGGCCACCTCCCCTCACCCCGTTCTCCCCCTCCTGTGTCCCTCCAGGAGAGTGTCTCGTCACAGGCCAGTCCCACTTCAAGAGCTTCGACAACAGGCACTTCACCTTCAGTGGCATCTGCCAGTACCTGCTGGCCCGGGACTGTGAGGACCACTCCTTCTCCATCGTCATTGAGACCGTGCAGGTGAGCTTGCCGGGAGGCTGCGTAGCCGCTAGGCCGGCGGGCAGCCCCGGGAAGTGTGGGCAGGTGCTCCGTGCAGGGCGGAGGACTCCTCTTCCAGGCTTCAGTTAGCCCCTCGCTCTTCCAGAAACCCAGCCCATCTCTCTGTCCCTGGAGTCGGGAGAAGGCACCCTGCCCTGCTGACCACAGCGCTCAGGGCGGGCCCCGCTCCACGAGAGGCTTCCGTGGCTGCTTCGGGTCCTGCCTGTGGCCTCTGTGGCCAGCCTCTGCTGCGGAGCTGGGGTGACTGGGGGGCGGGAGGGCCTGTCTCCCATTCTGACTGCTATGGCCGTGTGTAGACTCATTTTCTCTGGAGAACGAAGCAAAGCTGAGGACAAATAGAGTGCCGAAGCCCCTGATTCTCTGGAATGACAGGCCCAGGGCACAGCCGAGGCAGAGGCCCACGGTCCTAGAGAAAGACCAGGCCAGGATGGGCGCTGGTGTGGGAGAGGTCGGGCACCGTGTTCAACTCTCGGCCCCGTCCACACAGAGTGTCCTGTGAGAACGGAAGCCAGAGGCTCTCTGGGGCTGAGGTCTTTCTCTGACTCAGTGGGTCCTGGGCTGGGGTGCTGGACTGGTGGGGGTACAGTGGGATCACCCCGCATCCCCTCTTGGCAGTGTGCCGATGACCCTGATGCTGTCTGCACCCGCTCGGTCACCGTCCGGCTGCCTGCCCTGCACAACAGCCTCGTGAAGCTGAAGCATGGGGGAGGAGTCGCCATGGATGGCCAGGACGTGCAGGTCCCCCTCCTGCAAGGTGGGCCTCCCCCTGCTTCGCCGGGCCTGGGGCTGGCCCAGCTTGCTCCAAAGCACCCTTCTTCTCAACATGTGCCATTGCCCATGGGCACCTCTTCCTGGGAGTGTGATTGGAGAGTCATCTTTGGAGGGCAGGGTGGGGATGCATCTCTGCAAGAAAGGAAGGCTTCCTGGAGGAGGTGACTAGGAGGAAGCTGGCAGAACACCTGTGGATGAGGAGGCTGCTCCAGCTCGGGGAAAGTATAGATGGGAAAAGGAGCCAAGAGGATTCTCACTCGACTTGGGCCAAAGGGGCGAGTTGAGTCTCATGCAGGTGGTTGTGGTTTTGCTTTGAGGTGGGATGGGAGCAGAGGCTGATACCAAGAGGGTGGGGGTGGCTGGTGATGTCAGATCACAGGATGACACTTGGGGCAAGGCCAGGTGACCCTCTGGCCTGTGGGAAAAACCTACCCGTCCAGTGTCTGGCGCAGCTTGCACTGTGCCTGATGCAGCAAAACTGCTTTCACAGCACAACCCCCAAACATCACCCCCAAAGGGCTCTCAGACTCCCCCTCCTTCTCCATGACCACTGGCCACCCCGCAGCCCATCCTAGCATTGCACACAGTGGAGGAACATGGGCTAGTAGGCACACGGCATGTGTGTGAGTGCCAGTGCCCCTGTGTCTCCTGACGAGACGCTTGTTCCTCCAGGGCAAGGGCTGTGCTCCCATCTGTCTCCTCCTACCGCAGCAGCGAGAGCTGCATTCAGCCTCACACACAGCACCACTCAGCCATGGGGACTAACTCCGCCTCGACAGTGTGCAACGGCCAGCCGGGGTCTCAGGCACACTCAGGCGTCATGAGTTCAAGGGTACACAGAGCCTAAGGCTCTGCAGGAGCCTCTGCCGCCCTCCTGTGGTAGCAGGGGTAATGGCAGGTCACAGCCAGGGTACAGAGGCTCTTCTGGGGGGAACCCTATTGCCCTCCAACCACCAGATCATCCTTCCCGAGACCCTCGTAAGCCTCATGGACAGCCCGCCTGCCCCTGACTCATTGCTGTTCATTGCTGCGTCCTTTTGGGACATCCCATCTCCTCCCACAATACCTCTGTCTGCCATCGCCTGTCCTCCCCCACCTCAGCCTAACTCCTGTCCTGCGGGTTCAGGTGACCTCCGCATCCAGCACACGGTGATGGGCTCCGTGCGCCTCAGCTACGGGGAGGACCTGGAGATGGACTGGGACGGCCGAGGGAGGCTGCTGGTGAAGGTAGGTGCCCTGGGAGGCACGCCTCCCCGCAGCCCGGCCCTGACAAAGTAGCCCTTGTGCTCTGGGCAGAGCCGCTTTGTGTGGGGCGAGAAGAATTCTTTTCTCCTCCTGCCCTACGCCCCCAGGCGAGGAACAGGCCTCTCTTGTGCAGGAGAAGCTGGTGTTTGTTTTCTGGGCGCCCTGGGGATTCTCCCCTCTGGGGCTCGGGTATGCCAAGGGCCCCCTGGCTGGGGCTGGCTCTTGTGGGAAGGGGCGGGTTTGCTGTCTAATCTCCCCCTGTAATGAGGCCCGGAAGCAGGGCTGTCTGCCCGGGCGCCTGCTGTGGGTGGGACAGGAAGAGCCCCACAGCCAAGAGGAAGCCGCCCCTCTGCCTGGGAGAGGTTGCACAGGGGACTACCAAGTTCCTCCCCTGGACACCGGGACTGTATGGGTGGGTGGCTTCCCTTTGTTCTCTGTGGCCCTTGAACCACATCGCCAGCAATCCATACCTTTAGCCAGGCTTCCCTCCATGGTTTCTCATGAAATGTCCCTGGCAGGTAGGCAGCGTCGGTGCTAGTACTGCCATTTTATAAGCAAGGCAGCCAACGCCTGGCTAAAGGCTGGACAGGGAAGTCCAGCACTCCAAAACTGTCAGGGCTGGCATCTCACCCCTTGTTCTGATCTCCTGCCCTGAGCCCCACTGCCACCCAGCCGTGGCAGAGTGAGGATTAGCTCTCTGCACTTTGCCTTTCCCACCAGACCTGTGGTTCTCACTTTTTGGGCTCAGGATGCCTCTACGCTCATAGAAATTATTGAAGAATCAAGATCTTTTGTGAGGATTATATATATTGATATTTGCCACATTAGAAATTAAATCAGAGACATTTAAAATACGTATTTATTAACTCATTCAAAAATAACAACAAACCCACTACACATTAACATAAACACTTTTTTTCCTGAAAAATAACTTTTTCCAAAACACAAATAAGTAATGAGAATAATATCACTGTTGCACATCTCAGCAATGGCTGGCATAATAGGAGACAGCTGGATTCTCGTATCTCCTTCTGCATTTAATCTTTTGCAATATTTCATGTCATGTAGCCTCTGGAAAATTCCACTGTAGGCTTGTAAAAGAATGAGAAGGGAAAAGGCAAATGATGTCTTCATATTATTATGAAAATCGTTTTGGCCTCACAGACCCCTTGAAAGGGCATCAGGGACCTCCATGAGCCCCGAGACCACACTTGAGAGCCGCTGTCCTCTATAGTCCTAGGGTCCCTGGGGAGACCCCCACTTGCTGGGCCTGCGCACTCCTCACAGTCTTTGGAGAATCTGGGAAGGGCGCCGGGCATCACGGCGAAATCCTGGCTTCCTTCCTTCCCGTGGGGCTGTGCTGTTCCTCTTGTCTTAGAGCCCCGAGGGAGTTCCAAACCAACCCCCACCTTCCTTCTTTCTCTTTTATAAAAAAATATACCTCTGACCACAGAGCACAGAGTAGGAAGGTCTGGGAGACCCTCTTGTCCACTCCCCTTTTCCAGCTGGAAATAAGAGCCATCATATCTGGCAAGAGGAACTCTCCCGGGTCTCCTGGTTGTTTGGTGACAGGGTGAGGATCGGAACTGGGGGCTCCTGGCCCCTGCCCAGCCTTTCCTCCTGCACCTCGGTCTTCAAGGCAGCGCTCCAGTGCTCCCCGGCAGACACACCACTTTCTCCGCGCCCTGCCGCCCACAGAGAGCTGCTCTCCCGCCACGCAGTCCCCCTCAGGGCCGTGGCTTCTCGTCCTGGCACCTGCCTCCCTCTCCCCTGAGGGCACAAGAGGCCGACCGCTTTCTGTGGGAAGGGACGTAGGATTGTTTCTGGGGCTGGGTTTTGGTCAGTTTAGCTAACAAGAAGGGGATGTCCTTGGTCAAGATGCAAGACGGGGTGGCCTGTGGTCCCATGGGTTTGGGTGTGAGGCAGGAGAAGGGGTCTCTGAGATGGGGCAGGGGTGCCTCAGAATGCTCATCCCGGGGCTTGGGGGACTGTGGCGTGGGGATGGCTGGAGGCAGGCTGGCTGGGGGAGAGGGGTTGCAGAAGAGGTGTTGCCAGGGGCCCTGTGACTGTGCCCTCTGGGTGTGCTCTGTTCCCGTGGGGCTGGCGGTCCAGGCGCTCAGCCGGCTGCATGCCATGCGGGGACAGCTCAGCCTCAACCCACGTGCTGGGGACAAGACCCTGGCAGTCTTCATTTTGTCAGAACTGTCGCCGGGCAGAGGCTTATTTCAAACAGCAAGTATCTCCTTTAAGTACCCCATCTCAGACTCTGCAGGGCTCTTGCCAGCCTCAGCCTGGCCTCCACGGACACCCGCTCTTCTGACCCCTGGCCAAGCTGCCCTCTGGGACGAGCTGAGCGGACGAAGAAGATACAGTTTTAGAGAGGGGGGTGAACAACAGGGCCTCTGGGGAGCATCAGTGTCTGAGAAAGAGGAGAGGGAGAGGCTGAGCGGTGGCGGATGGGAGGGAGGCTCTTCACCAGTGGAGCCACTTTGCCCAGGCGGCCCTGACTGCACTCCAGCCAGTGTCAGGAGGAGAATCTACTGATTCATTCATTTGTTCAATGGTTCATTCATTCAGCAAATATTTATGAGTGCTTACTGGCACTGTTGTGGTCTGAATGTTTGTGTCCTCCCCAAATTCGTATGTTGAAATCCTAACCCCCAATGCGTGGTATTAGGAGGTGGGGCCTTTGGGAGGTGATTAAGAATGGGATTTGTGCCCTTATGAAAGACCCCAGAGAGCTAGGTGGCCCCTTCCACCAAGGGAGGATACAGCTAGAAAGCACCATCTATGAATCAGAAACGGAATCTGCTGGCGCCTTGATCTTGGACTTCCCAGATTCCAGAACTGTAAGAAATAAGTTTCTGTTTATATGCCACCCAGTCCGTGGTATCTTGTTATAGCAGCCTGAATGGGCCAAGACAGGCACCATTGTAGGTGCTGAGGTTACAGCACTGAAACAAAACAGACAGAAATCATTTAGTTTAAATTCTAATGGGGGTAGACAGGCAAAAAATGAAGCAAACAAGTAAATTTTATTATATATCAGGAGGTGATAAATCCTGGGCAGATGAATAAAGCAGAGAAGAGGCGGGAAGTGCCAGGATTGGGGGATTTAATGTTAGTCAGGGAGGTCGGGGAGTGCCTTGGTGCCTAATGTGACAACAGTTGAAACTGGTAGAGCTAATAAGGAAACATTACTCTGTTCCTTCCTTATTAACACTACTTACTTGGTTGCATTTTATATGAGTCTGGAACTTTCCACTAGATTGGTTGCCTGGCATCTTCTTAAGTCAGAGCTGGAAGCTGAAAACGGCTCCAGGAGATGACCCTAGGGGTTCCAGGCCTAGCCCCTGAGAGTTTCAGAACATGGGCAGGTCATCTGGCCTCAGTAATGACAGCAGAGCAGGAGTCAGGACTCCTGGGTCCCAGCCCTGCTTCCTCTCTGAATGGGGTCCTCTCAATAGAAACCAGCAGGTGCTCCCAGCTGCCTTGAGTGAAAGGCACGTTCCACCCCCTAGAAGCCCCTGAATGTGCACTTTGCTCTGAGCATGGACAATGAGCCACATGCTACTGGCCTGGAGTTTGAACCCTGGAGTCCTCCTGGTCACCCCACAGCAGTCTGCCCCAGAGTCCCGCTGACCCGGGCTTCTTGGAATCATAACCCCCACAGGCCTCTTTGGGCGTGGTCTTTTCTCTCCAGTGATGCTCAGTGGAGTTAAATGAGGAGGTTAAGAGGAAAGTGTTCCTTGTCATCAAATGTGAGCTCCAAGAGGGCTCGGACCACACCGACTCCACCTGCGTGTGGAGTCCACATGTGTGACCAGCTCGAGTGTTCTCTAGAGGGGGCTGAGTTTGCACGTGACTCCCGTGGGTGGCAGGCCCGCCGGTTTAGCCACTCTGGGGACAGGCATGGAGGGCAGAGGGCAGAACCCGGCTACCTGCCTACCCCTCCCAGCCCCGCCACTGCCTCTGTGGCCTTAGGCAAGTCACTTTTCCTCTCTGGGGCTCGGTTTCTCCATCTTTCAGTGACTAATCTCTAAAATCCCTTCCGGCAGGACAGGTCGGTGACCTAATGATTTAGGAGCAGGGACGGAGCTGGGGAGCGCACTGCAGCTTTTTATGTTTTTCTTCTGCAGACCCGGGCCTAGCTGCCTTTTATTAAGTCAATATTTATTTTTCACCCGGGAAGTCTTTTGATTAAAACCATCTCGTTAGCGAAAGGACACTGTTGCTGCTCTGGCGGCAGCGGCGCCAAGGTGGTCTGGCTTCTCCCGCAGCTGTCGCCGGCCTACGCGGGGAAGACCTGCGGCCTGTGCGGGAATTACAACGGCGACCAGGGCGACGACTTCCGCACGCCCGCCGGCCTGCCAGAGCCCCTGGTGGAGGACTTCGGGAACGCCTGGAAGCTGCACGGGGACTGCCGGGACCTGCAGAAGCAGCACAGCGACCCCTGCGCCCTCAACCCGCGCCTGAGTGCGTGAGCCGGGCAAGGCGGGGCCCGCGCACCCGCGGGACAGTGCACCCGCCGGGGGGCGGGGAGCGAGGGATTCGGGGTGGGCCAGATTGTTTACCATCAACGTTTATAGTCTGCATCTGGGTCAGTGCTCTCCAAAGTCCCTAACTGGGGCCAAAGCCCGGGGAGGCAGAGAAGGGCGCGCAGTCCCCGCCCTCGGGCGCCGGCCCTGGACTGCAGCAGCCGCGCCGCCTCAGTACCGCACTCAACGCTCGCGGGCTGGCGGGCTGCGGGCGTCCGCCCGAACTTCCAGTCCGCGGTAGCACGCGTGGGGGCTCAGGCGGCCCAGGGCAGGTGTGGCCCCCGCGGAAGACGCCCGTCCCTGGGCACCCCTCCCCAGGCAGCGCCCCTCCCCCGCGGCAGCCCCTCCCCCACGGCAACCCCTCCCCCGCGGCATCCCCCCGCGTGACCCCTGCCCCGCGGCAGCCCCTCCCCCACGGCAACCCTTCCCCCGCGGCAGCCCCTCCCCCGCGGCAGCCCCCCGCGTGACCCCTGCCCCGGGCAGGCCCGCCCACGCCCGCTCGCCCCTCTGCCCGCAGCCAGGTTCGCCGAGGAGGCGTGCGCCGTGCTGACGTCCCCCGCGTTCGCCGCCTGCCACCGCGCCGTCAGCCCGCTGCCCTACCTGCGCAACTGCCGCTACGACGTGTGCGCCTGCTCCGACGGCAGGGAGTGCCTGTGCGACGCCGTGGCCAGCTATGCCGCGGCCTGCGCCCGGAGGGGCGTGCGCGTCGCCTGGCGGGAGCCCGGCTTCTGTGGTGCGTGCCCCCCGCGCCCGCCGCCACCGGCCGGTCCGCGTGTCCTCTCCAAACACTTTCCCTGCGTTGTTTCTTTGGAAAGGGGCCCCGGAGCATTTGGACAAGCAGGGTTGTGGGGACGGCTCACTGGCACCCATCTCCCCCTCGCCGCGCGGTGCGGCTGGTCTCACAGCTCGGGCCTGTTCCGGCGGCACGTGGTGGAACCCCGCCTGGAGGCCTGGAACCTCGGGGTCCCTGCGCAGCAGAGCGGTCCTGAGGCCGCTGCCACCTAGTGTCCGATACGTGCACGGTCAGGCTGTGGAGCCAGGGTCCCAGATCCCGGCGGGCACCCGCGTCCCGCGAGTCTGGCGCAGGCAGCCGGGCGTGCCCATGCACATCCTTTGTTTGCAGCTCCAGGCAAACCATCGGGGGATCCCTGGCCTAGGTCCCTGGCATTGTATTAACATAAAGTTACATGAAGCTCAGTTACCTCACTGTGCCCAGCTGACTTTAGGTTCTCACTGTGCACCGGCAGATTCCTGTCATCACGTTGGTATGGGCTCCTACGCTCTGGTCCCTTGAGTAGCTAGAATTGTGTTCACTTTTCTGTTGTTGGTTTTGCCCTGGGGACATTTGATGAGTGCCCAGTGTGGTCAGGCGATAGTGATAATGTGGAAATTCAAGCTTCCTTTTTGAGGCACAAACGGAAACTGTCCCCCTACTAGGTACCCATCACGCTGAGTAGAAGGATGATTAGAGTAAGGGCAGGGGCAGCCAAGGAAGGCTTTCTGGAGGGGGTGTGCTTCACATGGTTTTAAAATGCTGCTGTCTTGGTAGAGAAGAGTTGTTTCCAATGGTAGAATAGCAGCAGTTAGGCATAGAAGTGAGCGGGAAGGACAAGGTGGTGGATATTTTGATTTTAGGGTGAAGTAGATGCATTCCTGTTAAAACAGGCGGTGCCGACGGAAGCGAGAAAAGAGGAGCTGTGAGAAACGGGGAAAGGAGCTAGCAAAGTGTGTTTGTGGAGAAGTTTAGGTCTAATGTCCCAGCTCACATTCCGAGTTAAAGCAATGTCATACAAAAGAGGGACAGAGCCAAGAGTAAGGATGAAAGGGGACAAGTGCATAAATGCAGGGGCGGTGCCTTCCCTGTCCTTCTAGGCCTGGGATGTCTCTGGCAGTGACGGGCTGGTGGCTGGGAGCACAGAGTTTGGGTCCCTGCTCGCAGCTTGCCTGTGACTACCAGCTGTGTGACCTTGGCCCTGCAGCTGACCCCTCTGAACTTCAGTTTCCTCGCTTGCTGTGTAGAAACTGGAGAAAGTAACGAGGAGTAAATGAGGTGCTGTTAACGAATATCCTTTGCTTGTCCACCAGTACTAGGTGCTACAGCATCCGTTGGGTTTCCCAATTTAGGACATTCTCCTGGACTGCTAAGGACCCACCAAAATATTCTTTAATCTCTCACGAGCAGCTGTTCATAACCTGCACTGAACAGAACAAGGGAAACGGCCGCGCTGTGGAAGGAGGGACTGAGACTCCATCAGAGAACTGACTCTGAGGCCGTGCGATAGGCAGGCAGTGCTGGGGCTGGGAGGGCTTTTCCTGAAGGCTTTTAAAGACAAGAGGGATCTGTCTCTGTGGGTTTAATAACAAGAGACAAGGCTGCGGGGTGGCCTTGGGCTCTCCCTGTGAGCCCAGAGAGGCTGGAGAGGACTCCTGGGTTCTTGCCTGTGTCCTGTCTTGCAAGCAAGGAGCCATGGTCTCGTCTCTATACTCCCGGGCCCAGCACACGGAGCCCATGGCACCTGGTGGCACACAGTAAACGAAACTGACGTGCATTATTTCTTCTGGAGAAGAAGGCTAACGGAGAAATTTAATGAGGCTCCGAGCCAGGGATGGTCTGCCAGAACAAAACAAGCTCTCCAGTCTAGCAGCTCTTTAATGCGCCCCTGTCCTCGTAGACTCAGGGCTGAAAGGGATCTCCATCTGTATTGCCCAACACGCCCCGTCGAAACCTACCCCCCCCTCAATATTCATCCAGCGACCCAAGCTCTCCACTTTTTCAGAGAAAAATCAATGTCTAACATGGCTAGAGAGCCCCCGTCTTCCAAACTGCCTTCAAACACGGTGCAAGGCGATCGCAGGCGGGGAGGCGATGGCAGGCGGGGAGGCTGCAGCCTTGCTCCAGCGGTTCTGCCCCACAGTGAGGTTCACTGTGTGCCTGGGAAGTGCTCCTCGGGGGGTCTCTGCTGTGGAACCCATTGTGGCAGAGAAGAGAAGGACCCTAATGGTTGCAGGGGGAGTGTGACCAGAGCAGGGTTCTCACTTCTTAGACAGCAGCTGGTGAGCAGTGGGAATGCGTTTTGAAAGGGTGCAGTGCTCCCCACACCTCCCTGCCCTCCCTCCCCTACCAGGAAAGAATTTCATCATCAGAATGCCAGGCTTCCTGGGACCTAGACCTTTCTCTGGAATACCCATTCCACCACAGCTGCTGCACTGGGTCTGGGGCTGCGTTTCCCCAGCATGAGTCATGACAATAAGAGCAGTGAGCGTTACCACATGCCAGGCATTCCTCTAAGCATGGCAGCACATTTGGCCTCCACAGGGACCCAGGTGGATGTTGTTGGCACATCCCAGTGAGGATGCTGCCCAAGGTCACATGGCGGCTAATGGTGGACCTGGGGCTTGAACCCAGGTATCTGGGATATAGAACCCATTCTCTTAGCTGCTTAGCGCATTGCTACACTTCCTCCTGGCTTTTGTCTCCTGTGGGATTTCTCTGTGGGAGCCGGGGAGGGTGAGGGCTGTGGGCAGGTGGGCACTGCCCACATCAGGTACAAGAGTGTCCCTGCTCTTTGTGACTAGCGAGTCCCTCAAGGGACTGTTTCCTTTTTAGAGTATAATGGTTACGAGCATGAGATTTAGGGTCGCAGAGAGCTGGGTTCAAATCCTGCCTCTGCTTCTTCGTGAGGGGCATGCCACTGACGAGTAGCTTGGCTTAAGTTTCAGTTTTCTTACCGGTAGAAAGGGGGTGAGGGGGGCAAACTCACTGGGTGAGGCGTGAAGCTCGTGTGAAGAGCAGGACATTCAGTAAGTGCTCAATCAATTGTAGCCATTGTCATTATCATCCTGGGGTTACCCTTGCCTGTCATTCCCAGTTCGTTTTAGTATTCATAGCTTCAAAACCCACCGGGATTTCTACTGTGTCCTAGGATTTGAGAATTCAGAGGTGACTAAGGCATGCTCCCTCTGGCTGAGGGGAGGAGACAGTGTGCCTCCGTGATTATAATATACCGTGTGCTGAGAAATGCACCTTTGCTAGCATAGGAAATGGAGGTGATGGCTGTGTGGATGCAGTTAGGGTCATAGCTGCAAAGGTGGCACCCCAAGTCCTAGAAGCACAGTCCTGTTGTCTGGTGTGTCCACTGAGGCCTTCCCCCCTCCCCCCTCTCTCCAGCAATGAGCTGCCCGCAGGGCCAGGTATACCTGCAGTGTGGGACTCCCTGCAACCTGACCTGCCGCTCCCTCTCCTACCCGGATGAGGAATGCAACGAGGTCTGCCTGGAAGGCTGCTTCTGCCCCCCAGGGCTCTACCTGGACGAGAGAGGAGACTGTGTGCCCAAGGCCAGGTGCCCCTGTTACTACGATGGTGAGATCTTCCAGCCCGAAGACATCTTCTCAGACCATCACACCATGTGGTAAGTGCAGGCAGCAGGGCCAGGGTCCTTTGGAATGGCAGAGCTGGAGAGGAAGATGGTCCTTCAAGTCCTTTACTTGATGGATGGGTAAACTGAGGCCCAAGAAAGGACACAGCTTGTCCAGAATTGTATAGCACGTCACAAGCTCAGCTGGCGTTTGGCCCAGGTCTTCTGATTCCCTACTGTGCAGGGAACTACAACTCCAGGCTGGCAGTAGGAGTTCTTGAGCTTTACTGTCAACTGTATGTGCCAGTTTCTCAACTCTGAATCATACTTGCGTCTTGCAGCTCTTGGCCCAGGACCCTGTGATGGTCGATTTCAACAGGGCTGCCATTGCCGCAGGAGAAATTCGCAACGGAACATTTGCTGGGCAAGCACTTACCTGTCACCTGTTCTGTTGCAGGTTCTGGCAAAGAACTGGTCATCTTGAGATGAACCAGACACAATGTGGACCCCAAAGAGCTGACAGTCCACTGGGGAGTCTAGTTAAAATGTCCTGATTATAAAAATTTCAGACACACATAAAAATAGAGAAAATAGTATAAGGAGCCCTAATGTATCCATTCCCAGTGTTTTGCCACTCTTCTTTTATCTATCGATTCCTCTCCTTTTTGGTTGAAATAGTTTAAAGAAAACTTCAGATATGTCACGTCACCTACAAATACTTCAGTATATATTTCCAAATAGGTGAGCACTTACAAAACATAACCATAATATCATTATTGACCTAAATATTAACCATAATTCCTTCATAATATTTAATATTGAACCCCTGTTAACTTTTTCCTGATTGTCTAAAAATGTCTCTTTATAATTAGTTTGTTCAAAGCAAGATCCAAACAAGGTCTACATGTTGCATTTGGTATGAAGCTTTTATTGTCACTCCAGTGAGATAATTTGCAGCCCCCTCAACCTCATGTACCCAAAGCAGGTTGTTTATACTTCTGTCAAAACAATTATTGCTCTTGGGCTTGGATTTCAGTAAAACATGTTGCATCCGCTCCCTAGGCTGTGACTGGTGAAAGAGTAGAGACCGTATCTTAGGCCCTGATCCACGGCGCCTAGCACAGTTCTGGCACAAAGCAGGTACACAATAAGTATTTGCTGAGATGAAAGAACTATAGCATTTGGTAGACTGCCGGGGCTCCCTCTCTCCGCAGCTACTGCGAGGACGGCGTCATGCACTGCACCATGAGCGGAGCCCCAGGGAGCCTGCTGCCGGACGCCACGCTCCGCAGCCCCCTGTCTCACCGCAGTGAGTACCTCGCCCTGGAAGGGCCCTCGCCTCCCCTTTGCCCAGATGCTCACGCGTGGGGTCGGGGAGAGCCGGGTGGCTCTGTCCCACGTGTGTGTGCATTCAGGCACGCGTCCAGCGTTGCCCAGGATGGCCACGATGTCTGGGTCTGTGTGAGTGACTTTCAGGTGGAGACGTACCTTTGCATGTACAAATCCAAATCACTGAGGCAAGAGTATTTTGTTCTGTAGATGGGGAAAACTGAATTACCAGCAAGGTGGGTTCAGGGAGACCTGCGTTTTGCCTGTAGTGACCTTAACTGGGTAAAGAGCTGAGTGAGTTGGTTGCCTTGATTGTGGTGACAATCACTCTTCTTTGGTGGCCTCTTGTTCCCCATGGACATGCTGACTAGGACACCTCTTTCTTTAGAAAGCTTCTCAGATGGGTTTGAAAGAGGGAGGTTGGGGCCAGTTGTCCTCAGTTAGAAGGTCCGGATAGTTGCTGTACTGTTAAATGACAACGCAAAGAAGGGAAAAGGGGCTGGCGTGATACTGGTAAGTTCGTGGATCACAGGGACTTTATTTGCTTCCAGAAGGATCATCCTTGCTTAGAAAGGACGCTTCCAGGGAGAGGGAGGGAGGTGGGTGACCACTCCCGTCTCTGCCTCTCACTTTCCATAGACCCCTGTTCCCCAGGTGCCCAGTTCTGTGCCACGCCACCTGCGTCCCAGCTGCCCTGGGTGAGGGGTCTGACTCCCCAGGTAACTGGATGGGCAGCATCTCTCAGCCTAGAGCTGGGCAAGGTCCCCAGCGTGTGGATGGCTCAAAAGTTGAAATCAGAACTTGTGGCCTCAAGGTCCCTAAATCTTTCTGCCTCTTTCTTTGTCTCACTCTCAGCGTCCCCCACACTCCCACCCCTCCTGCTGTATCCTGCCCCACGCTGTCTTAATGCCCCTCTTGCTCAGAGCCTTCTAGTCTAATCCTTGGAAGGTACTACCTTTTTCAAAGTCAGGAAACTCCTAGAATCTGTGCAGATTGGGAAAAGCCATTTAACCTTTTGGGGTTTCTGTTTCCTAGCAAAAGCTTCCATATGAAAACAAGGCTGGAATTCTGCCTTTCTTGCCCACAGGAGATAGTGACATAAATGCTAAAGTGCCCTGGGGCTTTGGAGAGAAAGATTCTGTATCAGTCATCTGCTGTCATCATTATCCAGTCAGCCATTGATACCTACTGATTGTCAGGAAATAGGAGGTGTCCGTGAGCAGAGTGGACAGCAGTCCCTGCCCTCACGGAGCATGCATTCTAGTGGGCCCAGTGTGTGGGCGTCAGCCAGGGAAGTGTGTATTGTGTCACGTGGTGAGAAGGATGTATGCAATATGCAGATGGAGATCAGTGAGGAAGGGAGGAGAAGGGGAGCTTCGGGGATGGAGTGTCACAAATTTAAACAGAGTGGCTGGACAGGGGCTGGCATTGAGCAAGGGCCCCTTTGAAGTCTTTGTGCTTGAATGGCCTTCTCTTCCTACATTAGTTGTCACCCTTTAGGAACAGTTCTGTTGGGTCCCACTGAAGCTCCCTTTTAGTACCCAGACCCAGGTCTTTTAAAGCCTGAGTCTGGAAGTTTCTGCAATGCATCCTGATTCAGCGCAACCTGCCACAGCAGGACCGAGGGCACTGGGAAGTGTGGGCCCTCAGGTGGGTGCAGGATGGGAGAGCCACCGCCAGGGTAGGCCGGGGGTCAGGAGCTCAGATGAGCAGGTGAGGCTGCCCTCCCAGTCTCGCACAGGGAACCTGCTCAGAGGTTGGGCAGCATCTAGTCCCAGGGAGTGACAGCTCTGAGTCTCTTCAATCGCGTGACGGCACCTAGGGACAAAAGGGTGGTGCAGAAGGTAGATCCATTCATTCCTTCACTAATCCTCCTTTTGATTTTCCTACCTTCAAGGCAAAAGGAGCCTGTCCTGTCGGCCACCCATGGTCAAGCTGGTGTGCCCCGCCGACAACCCACGGGCTGAAGGGCTGGAGTGCGCCAAGACATGCCAGAACTACGACCTGGAGTGCATGAGCGTGGGCTGCGTGTCTGGCTGCCTCTGCCCCCCAGGCATGGTGAGCCCGCCACACAGGGCTGGCGCCTCCCCTTCGTCTTCCTGCGGGCAGGGATGAGTGAGGGCTGCGGAGCCAGGAGAGGAAGAAACTGTGCTAGATGGGGGTGGTGATGGGGGCGGTGGTGATGGGAACAGGGGTTGGGGAGAGAGTGGCCAAGTCAGCCCCAAAGTCAGGAAGGGAGTTGGTGGGAAAATGTTTGGGGCTGACCCTGATGGGATCAGACAAAAATATAAGAACTAGCTCACAGGAGTGCCACAGGAAGCAAAGAAAGTATTTCCAAAAAATACTTGCAAGTAAAAAGAGGCATGTCCACTAGAATTTCCCCTAGCGCTGCATTCCATGGTATGAGATCGGGGGACACACAGGTATTTGCGTGTGATTTGCATCTGTGCGTGGAACTTTCCGTTACAAGAGAGGACACTGATGCCCTGCCATGCCACCAGCAAGCCTTGGGCCAGCGGGTCTGTTCCCTACACTGAAGCTTCTCAGTAAAGTGAGCCTGAGGTCTTTACCAGCTCCTCACATTCCGGGATCCTGGTGTGGGGGCTGCTGCTGTGCGTGGAGTCCACGCGTGGCCCGAGGCTGTGCCGCTTTGCGCCTGCCCGGCGTCTGAGTGCGTCTTCCAGAGCTTCTGCTGGTGGAGGTGGTGATCTGAGCATGCCCAGGCCTCTGACCTCCCTCCCAAGTCTATCTTTGGCTAGTTTCGTAGTAAATAGATTATATGTGTGTCATGCTTGCCACCCTGAAGGATGCAGCTTCTGGATTTTTCTCTTTCAAATACGTCCTGTCTTCTTCCCTTCCCTGACTCCAATTCTCATACCCAAAGTGAGTGGCGAGGGGTCTGTGGGGCTGCAGAGCCAGGATGGGCGAGGCAGGACGGCTCTCCTGGGGCCGTGGAGGGGAAGTAGTGATGCCCGAGACCCCGACTGAGGGCCGGTGGCCTGGACCATGGGAGCTACCAGGGTTCTGTTGAGGGAACTTGGACCCATCCCCGGTGTTCCTCAGGAAGGCTGGCATCGGAGTGTGCTTTTCTCCTGACCCTCCAGCCCTTTCTTCCCCCAAACAGAGTGACCAGCTCTTATTAATTCTCTCCTCCGTGTTCCGCTGTGTCTTAGCCTCTGAGGATTCTGGAACCGTCTTTTCCAGATGTGGGAACTAGAGACTGTCCAGTGAGCACCTTCAAGCTGGAAGGTGTTATTGGTGCCTTAGGAGAAGGTCGATGTTCGTGGAAGGTCCGTAAGGGGGGACCTCGGACCTGGGTAGGGGCGTAGCGTAGGGGAGGGCAGGGGGATCTTCCTTGTTGCTCTTTTTATCCCTAGGGATTTTTATTTTGAGTGTCTCAGAGCTTTGGAGGGGGACATAGATCATTGTCCCTTCATCATGCCTGGAGGAGAAATTCTCCTGATGTCAGGAAAGTCTCAGCAAGAAAAGGGATATCACTCAGGATTATGTCAGCTTCAGGAACTCCTTTAAATGCATTTTTTCGGTCATGTAGGAGACAATGCAGATAGTCTTAAACATTAATAATCACAATAATTTCATTATGATCCAAATCCCAAGTGGAGAGTGGGGACTCATGCATAGGCCATGGGCGTACCACTGGGAGCTTATTTGGCTTCCCAAAGCATCTGGCACGCACGCTGAGGACAGCCTTTGGATACCTGTCGCCTCAACTGCAGGGGACCATAAACTCGAAAGCTCACATTGTAAGAGATTAGGTTATTTTCACAACTGCTTCGTTACGGTTCTTACAAATGTGCAAACTGCTGAGGCCAGGGTCGGGAGAGCGGAGGGGTCTGTGTGATTTATTAAGTGCGCAGGGTGCTGGCTGCTTGGCGTGACATGTGTTCTTGGCCACAACACAAAGAAAATGGGGCTGGAAACGTTCTGCTTGGGCCATGTGATGGGGCAGACGTTACCCCCAGGGGTGCTTCTCTGTCCGCCCGTCCCTTGTGGGGGATGGTAGGGTGGTGGGCTGTCACCAAGGGTTTGGGAAGAGGGTCACGGATTCTGCATCCTGAGGACTGGAGGGGGGAGAGGGAAGTAGCTTTCTCCTGGGGGCAGATCTACCAGAGCGGCCAGCGCCGAGCAGGAGCTGGGCTCGGGGCAGAGGGCTGCCAGGCCAGGCTTCCCTGCCGCCTGGCTCCACGAGCACCCTCGTCCACCTGTACCTGAGGCCTCAGCTGCCTCTGTTTTGTGGACACTTCCTGTTCTGCCTTCATGACACACTGGCCGTGGGCCCAGAGGAGACGTGTGTGAAAGCACTTTTAAAACTATAGAATTGCAGGAATAGCTTTAATTGTTGTTTCATAGTAACTGGGGCTGTCTCAGAGGCTGCACGGTCAGCTCCCCCTGTCCACAGGGGAGACCCTGGCAGGACTCTTTTTCTTACATTTCTAATCTGTTGTGGACCAATTCTTTTGTCAATACAGTAACAATGAATTATCAGAAAAATGAAACAAAAAAGCAACGAGATACAAAATATGAGCCCCCATCCCATTTTTATTGCGTGCAACAGACATGATATTATTCTGTCACATTGCCGTAAGATTTCCTAAACACTTTCTCTCAGTTTCTGTACTTATGGCGTCACAGACTGGTCCTGGCCTGGGGACTGCTCTTTGAGGAGCTGTGCCCTCAGCTGAAGATCGCCTCTCCTCCTTCACGGTGTCCCTCAGAGTCCATCGCATGCCCAGAAGTTCCTGTTTGGAAATGCTGGGGGACAGGGAAGGTGCCCCTCTCTTTCTGACTTGTCCCAGACTGCGCCAGCTTACAGCAGAGGGTTTCTGGTCCACTCCACAAGCTGCAGACTCTGTCCGGCCACTGTGCAAAGGTCCCCTGGCATGGGAACAAGGAGGGCAGGGTCCTTTTGCAAAGTGGTCAACTTATGGGAAATGGTTGGGGGAGAAGCCACGGGAAAAAGGCATGGTGTTGGAATCCCACACTTCCAGGTGTGAACCCTGGCTCCTGACAGCTACTTAGCTGAGTGGCAAGTCACTTAAAATCTTGATGTCTTAATTTTCTGACCTGTAAAATTGGGTTGGAAGGGCTGCTGGGAAGACTGGAGATTGGGAGGTGCTTAGCAAGTGGTGGTTTGATGGCCGCTGTTATAATAAGTTCATGGAGGGACACCCTGAATCCTGGTATGAACAGTGATGCTACAGGGAGGAACTTTCCAGACCCCAGTGTTCACATTCTGAGACCCACTGGATCAATAAAGTGAGGGGGTTGCACTAGAAGACTTCTAAGTCTTTTTCTCTAGTTTGGAAATTCTTCAGTGAACTTTCTGCCTGAAGCATCCAGTCCTTTAAGTTAGAATATTAAGTTAGAATATTCTACCACTGGGTGGCAGAAAAGCACAACCGGCCGCCCGGCTCAACCCCCAGGCGTGCCGGGAGTCTGGCGGAGGAGAAGGGACCCTGGGGACTCTTGGCACCCGCTGTTTCAACCCCTTCTCTCACACAGGAGACTGGGAAACAGAACCACTTCAAGGCTCTGAAGCTGTATAGTGGAGACTCTGGTCCCTGACTCCAGAAAGGGCTCCTTCAGTGCTCCGGGTCTCCCTGTGGGAGGCCAGGCCGCCCAGGCCTCTGAGAATGTGCTGTCCTGTCTGTGGGTGCTGACTTGGCCTCTGAAACCTGTGTTTCCCAAACTGCCACCAGCTCTGCTGGTATCAGGAACCTCTGGGCAGCTGAGAGGTGTGTTCACGTCCCTGGTCTTTGGGTGCCCAGGTTTCTCACCCTCCATGTGAGGACTGAAGGGCTTCGGCACTGCTCCTTAAACTCCAGGGCCTGGGTTCTGGGCCCAGCCAGACAGGCCTCACATGTGAGCATCGTAAATCCTATGAGATGTAATTTTAAAAGGCCCAAGGAGGCCGGGTGCGGTGGCTCTCTCCTGTAATCCTAGCACTCTGGGAGGCCCAGGCAGGCGGATTGCTTGAGGTCAGGAGTTTGAAACCAGCCTGAGCAAGAGCGAGACCCCGTCTCTACTATAAATAGAAAGAAATTAATTGGCCAACTAATATATATAGAAAACATTAGCCAGGCATGGTGGCGCATGCCTGTAGTCCCAGCTACTCGGGAGGCTGAGGCAGGAGGATCGCTTGAGCCCAAGAGTTTGAGGTTGCTGTGAGCTAGGCTGATGCCACGGCACTCACTCTAGCTTGGGCAACAAAGCAAGACTCTGTCTCAAAATAATAATAATAAATAAATAAAATAAAAGCCCCAAGGAAGCCCTCCTGTCTCAAAACTATCTCCTGCATGTTTCGATATTTGCCACCTCATCAGACTTACTGAAGTACAAGAATAGATTTTCACTTTGGTTAAGGAGCAAAAGCTTACAAAAGCTTTACAACTTCATAAATCCTCACAGGAAGAGTCATCGCCCCTTCGTGTGAGTTATTTACTCGGACAGCTTTCCTCCCGGCAAGCCTCTGGTGGAAATCAGCTGTGTTGGGCTGGGAGTGTTAATGGAGCAGGAGAATAAACAGGGGCAGATGGAAGGCAGAAAGATTTTGGAGAATGAGTTAGTATGGTGTCCATGCATGGGGCAGGGGGGGAATGGGGCCTCTTCAGAGAAGAGTAACAAAACCAACTTTTTTCTACTTTGTAGTTTTTCTTGGCACTAACCAAGACCTGGCACCATGCTCTGGGCTGGAGCCTTCTCACTCTAGGTGTCTTGAGTTGATGAGCAATGTGACGGCTATTTCTGCCATGTTTTCTTCTGAAGTCTTCAAGGGACATTCATATACTTTATTGTAGTATCCTTCTGGTGTCCCAAAGGGACAAACACTAGGCGGAGATGGTTCTCTTCATTTTTATCGGGAGGTTTCCGTGGCTTGCCACAACATTCTCCAGGGGCTGCTGAGCTGGCCTGCCCGCTTACCCGCGCAGCTCATCGGCACCCTGTTCGCGCCTGCAGTCTGCCTTTAGTCCCATGAATTTCTGTCTCCGTGAGTTTCCTGAATGCTTTGGGGTTCCCTGGGTGATTTTAGCTGGGCCGTTGCTACTTGATCTTCTCTTGCAAGTCAGCTCACGCTGTGGACTGGAAACCCTTTCCTCTCCTTTGAGGTTGTCTTTTGTCTCCTTTCCAGTTCGAACCTACAGATCTAACCCTGCGCCACTGTCGTCTTCAAAGTAGCCCGCATTTAATGTCCAGGTCCTATTTTAATGCTGTAACCCATCCACTAATAGTCTCCTCTTGTGGGCACCAGTCAGGGCAGGGAGCGGCCGTGTGGTTTGCCGGGAGCGCCGGGAAGGCGCGGCTGCGAGGGCGGCAGTGCTCTCTCAGGGCCCAGCCCGGACCTCAGTGTCCTGTCCTTTGGAAGGGGCTTCTGTAGATCCACACCTGGGCGGAGGGAGGGACTCCTTGAGCCATGGAGGTGTGGGAGTTTTTGTGGATATGTTGAACATGCTGGAGAGAGGTAAAAACATGCAGCTTGCAGACCAAGAGGCCCAGAGCCCTCAAGCTAGCCTGCCTGCAGATGAGGGGCAGCTCAGGTGTGTTCTGCAGAGGTGAGGCGAGCGGGGCTCAGTTTCCTGGATTCCACCCTATCATCCTGCCTGGCTTCTGTCTCCCGTACGGTTTTGGTGACGAGGCTTATCATCTGGTCTCTGTTAAGGATAGGGTGAGCGCTGGACGGCACCCCAGGGCTCTCCAGGCCATGTCAGTCATTCCTACAGTAGCCACTAGGTGGCAGGCCTGGGACCTCGGTCAGAGCTGCTGGTGGGGGCTGGGGACAATATGGGGATGGACTCTAACTGTGACAGAGCCTTTGAAGGTTCCAGCAGGGAGAGGTTTTCAGTCCATTCCTACTCCTACCAAGCTGTCACCTCCCCTGCTGGGTGGCTAAGCTCATTGTCTTCCAAGAATAGCAGTTCCAGGAGGAAAGTGCGACCAAGAATGTGGCCGCTCTGCATCTGCCTTGCTCTGTGCTCTCCTGCCCTGTCAGTTGGGCTTTGAGGCGGTATTAGGTTGGGTAGTGGAGGCTATTCTCCTCTGCGCCCCCCCCCCCCGCAACACATGCACACACGCGCACACACACACACACACGCATGCTTACACGCACACACAAACGCACATGCATGCTCACACACAATTTTAGCCGGGTCCGTGGCACGAAAGCCCCAGGATTGCCCTGTTCCAGGCTTAGTTTGCTATGTCTGGCTCCAAGCCCTGGGAGCTCAGGCTTGTGTGACTGGGTCACCTGGAGCCTAAGCTGTCCAGACCAGGGGCTTCTCACCCCTCTAGTAGCTCTGGAACCAAGGTACCATGGTCCTGTCACCTGGAGGTGACCCAGGCCCCTTTGAGAACACCCAAGGCTGGGCCATGCCAGAACGGACACCCAGGGCCACCCCTGAGTTCTCACAGTGGGTTTGGCCAACTCTGGCCAATGGCTCCTGGTTCTTTCTTTCGCTCTGGCCCCAGCAGACCTGAGGAGTATGACGTGCTCACATACGTGACTTCCTGAGGGCTGGAGGACAGGGAAGTAGGACATACCCCATGGAGAGTGTATCAGAATATCAGGGCCCTGGGGAGGAGGGGCTCGTGTGGCTCCGAGAAGCGCCCAGACTCTGCTTATGTGCAGGACTCAGCTCCCTCCTCCAGAGCATTAAGTGCATATTAATTTTATTCAACATAGTGTCCGTTTTCTTTACTTATAAACATAATACATGCGCACTAAGGAATGTTTGGGAAAAAAATTAAAAACCAAAAAAGAAAATAAAATCCTCCTCCCCTTCCCAGCCCACCACCTGGAGGCAAGTTGTGTGTTTCCTTCTAGCCTCTTTTGAAATATATATAAATTTGGAACCATATGTATATATAGTTTTCTTTCTTATTTTAAAAACTAACAGTGTAATTATTTCACACATCATTTAGGATCCTTAGAAAGGGCCATTGTCACTGCACCATAGGACAACGGCAACTGGGGACTCCTTGATGGGTTGGATCATTTTCCTGTGGTTGAGCACTTGATTGTTTCCATTCTTTCTTTTTGCAGTGATAAAAAATTCTCCATTAACCTTTGTCTGTAACTCTATGTATGTCCTTTGGAGAAATCCTTCGTGAGGAATGGCTGGATTTAAGGGTCTGCACATTTCAGGGCCTCTGACTTGTTCGGAAAGGTGTCACACGCAGGTTACGGCCCCCAGAGGGGCGAGGGGCGGAGGGCAGCCGTGTTGTCCGCTGATAGGCAGGAGCTGTGCAGACGGGGGTTCGTGTCTGCCAAGCCCCGGCCTGGGCGTGGGCTCCCTGTCCGGTCCTGGCCTGTGGCAGAAACTGTCCCCTGCTAGTTCCTTGCTGGGCTCACTGGGAGGCTCAAGCCCCAGGTGACTTCCCCAGTGGGGCCCTCAGGACTTGTGGGTTCTCTTCCCTTAGGTTCGGCATGAAAACAGGTGTGTGGCCCTGGAAAGGTGTCCCTGCTTCCATCAGGGCAAGGAGTACGCCCCGGGAGAAACGGTGACGATGGACTGCAACACCTGGTGAGGCTCCGCCAGGGGCTCCCCTGTGGGAGGGGGGCGGAGGTGGCCACGGGACCTCCCTCGCTTGACCCCGGCACCCTGTGGGAACCTGATTACTCTTTTCCTGTCCTCTGTGCCTTTGTTTCTCTGTCTGTAAAATGGGGAGAGTCTTTATCATCATCTGTGCTCATCCTGTGGAAACAGTAGCCTGCAGGTTAGTAAGGTGGAGCGTCCCTTACCGGAATGCTCAGGACCGGAAATATTTCAAGTTTTGAATTTTTTTTGTATTGTGGACTATTTGTATATACATAATGAGATATCTTGGGGGTGGGACTCAAGTCTAAACACAAAATTTATTTATATTTCATATATACCTTATACACATAGCCTGAAGGTAATTTTATACAGTATTTTTAATAATTTTGTGCATGAGACAGTTTGTGTACGTTGAGCCGTTAGAAAGCAAAGGTGTCACTGTCTCGGCCACCCATGTGGCGTCATGTTGGTGCTCAAACAGTTTTGGACTTTGGAATATTTTGCATTTTGGATTTTCGGATTAGGGATACTCATCTGGTGTTTCTGTTCAGGGAGACAGGCCCTGGGGAAGGTAAGGACCTCGCCCATGTCAGTCATTGTGTGTGTCACCACGCTGCCAGTGGGCATGGGTCTGGAGGTCCTTTCCTTGCAGGCCGTGCCTGCGTTGGCAGGCTGGAGTGTGCCTGTAGGGGCATGGTTCGAGCAGGGGCTTGGTGGGGGTGGCTGGTTCCCCCGTCCCTTCTCCTTGGCCGCCCTTCACATCACCCTCGCCCTGCCCACTCAGCCTGCCTGTGACTTCTGGGCTGTGCACCGCCTCGGAAAGCAGCCCAAGGGCAGTGGCAGGAAGGCTGTCTCGTGGGCCTGAGGTCTGAGCTCACCACCTCTGCCGCACATGTGGGCTTCCTGATGTCAGCTCTGGTCCTGGTGGTGGTGGGACGGGGCCTGTGGCAGCCGGCAAATCCCTACAGATTTAAACATGTTGCTGCACACAAAACCTCTCCTGGCAGAAGTTCATGGTTGCCACTGTTTTCCAGACACAGGATTTTCGTGCTGTTCTGTCTTGTTTTTCCTGTTAGCCTCGGGGGATTCAAACTCAATGTGTCTGTTTCCTAGAGACCCCGTGGCCTGTCTCAGGTAGACTCGTGGTGTCTAGTGACGCTGAGCGTTAGTAGGATCTGGGCCTCCTGCCCGGCTGCCTGGATCACTTTGGACAACCTCTTCCCTTCTTTGCCTCAGTTTCCCCCTTGTCACTGGAGAGCACCATGGCTTTCCTCTTTCCTGCTGGGCTCTGCTGGGCCTGTGAGGTCTGTGCTCCTGAGGCTACAAATCCTCAACTTCTTGAGGTTCCCTGGCGGGTTGGGAGCGTTCTGTGTCCCTTCATGGTCTCCACTGCCCGGACGAGCCCCTCAGACCAGGTGCACAGCCAGCCAGCCTCGCTACTGCTGTTCCCAGTGTCTGTCGGGACCGGAAGTGGAACTGCACAGAGCACGTGTGCGACGGCACGTGCTCCGCCCTGGGCATGGCCCACTACCTCACCTTCGACGGGCTCAAGTACATGTTCCCCGGGGAGTGCCAGTACGTTCTGGCGCAGGTGAGTAGGGGAGGCCTGGGAAGGAAGCTGTGTCTGCCTAGGAGGGCGTGGGGGGTGCTGACCGCAGTTGGGGGTTTCCGGGCAGGCTTCTGCCATCCTGTCTGTAGAGAGGGCTGTGGGCTCTGCTTTCTCCTGGAGTGATTTTCCGGCCCCTCATAGAACGGCCTGAAGAGGGCAGGGGCTCAGAACTCCAAGCGGTTGTCCGTTTTCCTTCTGCTCACCTGGAGACTCACCTGTGGGAACAAGACAGAGCGCGTTGGTTGATAGGGCTGGTTCAGGGAGAAAGGCCGCCATCAGTCCCGGAGAGCACCGACCTGGAATGAGACAGGCATGGGCTCCCGTTGGTAGGCGGGCGTGGTCAGGCTGCAGGCGCGGGCGGCTGGGCTGGGCAGCCCCCTCCCCGCACACCCTGCCACGCGGCGATGGCGGCCGCACTGGGGGAGGCGCCTGGAGGCCCTGGGCGCTCCCCGCCTCTGGCCCTGTTGGGTTCTCCACCACTCTTACTGCTGTCCGGGAACAATTCAGAGTGGGAGGGGCGAGCAGGGAGCACAGAAAGTCAACCTGCCAGCCAGCCCCTCCGCCTCCTCCTGCTGCCCAGCTTCCTGCAGATTCTGTTCCTGGTTGGCACCAAGTGGTGAGCAAGGAGGTAGGAGTGCTTTCCCACGAGAGGCGAGGCGCAGCTTTAAACAAATGTGGCCTCCCTCTCTCCACTCCCGAGGGGAGCGCCGGCGGGCCCGGTGTGGTCTGAAGGGGCCGGCCTAGCGCAGAGCCACTGAGGCGGTGCGGGTGCCTGTGGGCCTGCGGAGCGTGCCGGCGTGCCTGCGTGTGGGTGTGTGTGTGGGGGGTGTGTGTATGGGTGTGTGTGTATGGGTGTGTGTATGGGTGTGTGTATGGGTGTGTGTGTATTTGGGTGTATGTGTGTATGGGTGTGTGTGTATAGGTGTATGTGTGCATGGGGGTTGTGTGTATGGGTGTGTGTGTATGGGTGTGTGTATGGGTGTGTGTATGGGTATGTGTGTATGGGTGTGTGTGTATTTGGGTGTATGTGTGTATGGGTGTGTGTGTATAGGTGTATGTGTGCATGGGGGTTGTGTGTATGGGTGTGTGTATGGGTGTGTGTGTATGGGTGTGTGTATGGGAGTGTGCATGGGGGTTGTGTGTATGGGTGTGTGTATGGGTGTGTGTATGGGTGTGTGTGTATGGGTGTATGTGTGTATGTGTATGTGTATGAGTGTGTGCATGGGTGTGTGTATGAGTGTTATATGTGCATCAGAAAGGTAAGTGATTTACTCAATTACCCAGTCAGTGGCAGAAGCAGGATTCACACCTGGTTGCATGTTTTCCCACCGTAGCACAGTGCTAGCCACTATGGGGGAGGTATTTGCCAGGAAGTGTCCCCTTTTGCTTCATTTTCTATGCAATTAATAAACAAGGACCAGAGTTCCTCATCCTCTCTACTCAGCTACAGCTGGTAGCTCAGCAGAGCTGTGTCAAACCGTCCTTGGTTATTCTTCTGGGCCAGCAGTCAAGAGGGATTCACCTAGAATTTGGAGCCACAAGATGCTGTGTGGTCAGACTGTCCTGGTCAGACTGGTTACCTGTGTGGGACCAGGGACTAACAGGCTGTAGGGAGGGGCTCTGGGCCTGATGTGTCCATCAGAGCAGGCCACATGCCACTCTCTCTGTCCCTGGCCTTCTCCTCCTCCCCACCTTGTGCTTATCACCACCCCACCCCACCCACTGTGGACACCTGGTTGAGGGGTCGTGGCCCAGACGACACACCTGAGGGCATTTACCTGGGCATGTCCCTCCTTCTGCCTCCCAGCACACGCGCAGGCACACCCATGGACACAACAGCACCCTGTAACACGTATTCAAAGGCCTGTGACGATGAGATGCAATCTTCTGGTCGGGTGAGGTAGCAGGGGTGGCATTTCTGTCTCGGCACCCCTCTTTCTCCAGGATTACTGCGGCAGTAACCCGGGGACCTTTCGGGTCCTGGTGGGGAATGAGGGGTGCGGCTCCCCCTCGGTGAAATGCAAGAAGCGGGTCACCATCCTGGTGGCGGGAGGAGAGATCGAGCTGTTCGATGGGGAGGTAAGTGCCAGTGTCACCTCTGCCCTAGCGTCCTCCTCTGTGCTTGTGCCGGCTTATTAAGAGCGTTTATCAGGCGCTTGCTTAGAGCTCGTGTGGATGGGGTGATGCGCAGCCGTTAAAGAGAATGACCTGGACGTGCCATTTTACAGGAACGAGTGGCAGAGCCATAGGGACGACACAGCCCCCCTTAGCGAAGGTGTAGACGGTGCGTGGAGGAGGGTGTGCAGGTGTGTCTGCACGCACGTGGGGAGAAGGGGCACTGACCTCTGGCGCTGGGCGGGGGCGGGACATAGGTATGTGTTGAAGTGACGGCGTTATGGGAGATTTTTACCTCTTTTATGTTTTTTCAGTTCTTTTGGGAGAAATATTTTTAAAGGAGGTTTGAAAGAGGAGTAAACAGATTCAGTCCCTGTGCACTGAGGGCTTAGGAAGTGGTTCTCAGAGGGGCCATCGCTAGGCCGCAGTGTGGCCCAGCTGCTCTGTCTACATGTAGTGCTAGAGGGACCAGCATGTGGCTGACACCTGCCCTGGTGCCTTCATTGTCTCCCGTGCCCAGGCCTGCACCCCTGCCTTCTGGCACGCACGCACCTACCCCCGACGTCAGGGCGCGGCAGGCGAATCCCTCTCCATTATGGAAGAAAACTGTTGGGCAGGTGTGGCCTGTTGCGTGAGTCACAGCGTCCGAGCCACGTCACGGGACAGCTGTGCTTAGGACAGAGGACATGGCGGCACAGAGCGGGGGGTGTGCCCCGCGGGAGGGACAGATTCCACGTGTGCCTCGTGCTGCGTGTGGCGTGTCACTAACAGGAGGACCTCTGCAAAGAGGTGGCGGCGGCGCTTAGCTCAGCCTCAGCGTGACAGATGAGAGTGGCTGGGCTGCGGGATGGACCTGGAGGGTGTGGCGCCGCAGTGACTGGCCGAGTCAGGGCCCGCGGCCCAGTCCTTCTGGAGCCGACACGGGGTTCCCGCCTCCGGCGCCCAGCTCCCGGCCTGCGCGCCCTCCAGCTGCACTGGGACTGCAGCAGCGCGGGCAGGGCAGGAGGCGGGGCGCGGGGGAGGTAGCGTCCAGTGCTCGTCTCTGTAAAGGAATAGATTCCTGAAACAAGGGCCTAGAGATGCTTAAAGTGACTGCCACGTTGAGCACCTGTCTCGGGGACCACCGTATTTTATGACTGACCGTCAAAAAAGCACTTTTTGTGAAGTGAGGGCTGGTTTTCTGCTTGTTGGCGTCATTGTATTTTAGTCTCATAGTTGCGACTTCACTGCGCCTCTCTGATCATCCCTTGCTCACGTGTTCCTGAGCGTGGAAGGGGAGGTGGGCACAGAAATGTCCGGGTGTGGCGCTGGCCCTGCGGGGCGATGGTGTGAGCCGTCGGAGGGGCGGCGCCCTTGCTCGTGGGCAGGGGAGCCCCGGGCAGGTGTGGCGCGGGGCCGCTCTGGCTGTCGAGTCGGTCCTTCAGCGCCCGCTTTGCTGCCCTGTCTCCCTGCAGGTGAACGTGAAGAGGCCCATGGAGGATGAGACTCACTTTGAGGTGGTGGAGTCCGGCCGCTACGTCATCCTGCTGCTGGGCAAGGCACTCTCCGTGGTCTGGGACCGCCACCTGGCCATCTCTGTGGTCCTGAAGCAGACATACCAGGTTGGTGGCTTTCCTGCGTCCTCTTCCTCTTGCCTGGGACTTGTCCTTTGGACTTTCTTCAGCTCCCCGAGTAGCACCCCATGGCCTCTCCCGCCGTCTCGGGGGAAGGCGGTCCTTTGGTCCAGCCCCCTGCCCTGCACGTAGAGCCGCAACTCAAGGCTGAGAGTTAGCCTGGAGATCTGGCCTGCCCGCGTGTGGGAAGGATGGACTGGCCTTGCTAGGCACGCGGTTTATTTCCACAAAAGAAGGAAGTAAAAGATTAGGCAGTGCTAGTTTTTCTTTAGGTTTCTTAACCTAAAGTCGTGAATTAATCCTGCACAATATAATTATAATACTGCCAAGTATTCTGGGGTGTTGCCTTACCATTGAGCCGTAGGCCAGCACATTTTGTTATCTAGTTTGTTGGGACTTTTATGATTTTGCTAAGTGGCATGTATGTGACCAGCAGCTCTGTCCACTGTGGGGGCTGATTTAGTCTTGGCAGGAATGGCCTCCCCGGCGTCTGTGACAATGCCATCTGTTTGCAGGTGGTGCATGCCAGCAGGGGGTGCCCTCACTTCTCTGTGGCAGCCCATTGCATTTCTGGAAAGCATTAACAATTCACTCATTCATTTCTTCAGCAAATACTTACTAAGTTTCTATTATGTGACAAGCACTCTCCTAGCCACTGTGGATACAGCAGAGGAAAAATCAGATATATATAGGTGTGTGTGTGTGTATGTATATATATATACACACACATACATATATATATATATGTATGTATGTATATACATACCTCCCTTGGCCCTTGTGTCAGTTCTCTGTTGCTGCTGTAACACATTGACACAAACTTAGTGGCTTAAACAAGAACACAAAGTTATCATCTTACGGTTCTGGTGGTCCCAACCCTAAAGTCAGTGGCAGAGCTTCGCTCCTCCCAAAGGCTCTGAGAGAGGGTCCCTATCCTAGCCCTTTCCAGATTCTGGAGCCCGCCTGCGTTCCTGAGCTTGTGGCCCATCCTCGTGTTCACAGCCAGCAGCATAGCGCCTAACAGTCTCTCTCGTTGCTTCTACCTGTCAGGTCTCCTTCCACACTCTGACCCTCCTGCCGTCCTCTTATCAGACCCTGTGAGGACACTGGGCCACCAGATAATCCAGGACAGCGTCCCCGCCTCAAGATCTTAATTAACCTGACCACATCACAGAGTTCCTTTTGCCACGGGAGGCGATATATTCCCCGTTCTGGGGGTTAGGATGTGGACATCTTTAAGGGGTCACTGTTTTGCCTTCCCAAAGCCTGGTGGAGACCGTATTCTATGGGGATACCGTCCCGGACGGGCTGGTCTGAGGAGACCCGTTGAAGAGGGGGCGGACGAGCAGCGTCTCGGAGGGGGTGAGCCACACAGGCGTCTGGGGGGATTTAGGCGGGCGGAGCAGTGCGGGCCGGGCCCTGGGTGCTGGTGTGTGGAGTGACTCCACAAGGAGGCCGCCTGGCTGCAGAGGAGGGCCCGGGTGAATGGAGGCGCACGAGGAGGGCAGGGAGGGCAGTGGCCGTGCCCTGGGGGCTGTTAGGCCACGCAAAGTTGGCTTTTTACCCAACTGTGAGCACATTCTTCTTTTATGCTTCCCAGTAACACCCGCCGGACCAAGCCAAATCCTGCTCACTGACGCAAAGTAGAGTAGACCATTGCTTTTGTCCCGAGACAGAGCTCTGAATATGTTGTGAAAGTATAGCACCTTTTCTTCCCCAAATATCTCTAGTTCCTTCCATAGTTTGGTTTTTGCTTTTATTATTTTTGTTGACACACAGTTGTTCATGTTTACGGCATACACTGTGATGTTTAGATACATGCGTACAACGTGTGATGATCGATCGGGCCGTTAACACGTCCACCACCTCAGACATTTATCATTTCTTTGTGTCGTCTGCCTGTTCGACAGCACACAGCAAGTCGTCGTTAATTATGTCTCCCTGCAGTGCTGTAGGACGCTAGAACCTACTCCTTCTCTTTCTGTGGTTTTTCCTTGGTGGTTCTCACTCCTCGAGTAGCTACTTGCTCAGGACTTGCTGCGTGCTGCGCGTCACGACAGGCCGATGTGGGGGTGGATAAGATACGTCCTCCCTGGTGACGTTTCTTACACAGCAGAACGCGGACCGCCTGCTCTGGGCAGGCCGCAGTTCCCAGCTGAGGGGACTCACCTGCCCACGGGGGCGGGGCTGCACCGCTCCCGCCTCAGACGTCCGCACTTGCACTGGTGTGGCGGTCGCAGCAGCCCCTCTCTGCCCACACCCTCACTGCGCAGGGGCATGGCTCCCTCTATGGCAGGGCTCCTCCGACTTTTTAATCAGGGGGCCAGTTCAAGGTCCTTCAGACTGTTGGAGGGCCGTCGGAGGGAGCGGCGCACATTCCACACATGCGCACTGTGGGCCCGGGACGAGTCGGCTGCTAAGCAGGACAGGCAGCGGCGGCAGAAACTGTGCTAGGTGGCCGCATGTGGCCCGCGGGCCTTGGTTTGAGGACGCCTGCTCTGTGGAGTCCAGGGTGGACGCCGCCTGATTCCCGCCTCTGCCTTTGGCGGGCGTGTGACAAGGGCAAGCTGCCTCTCTGGTTTCCTTAACTCTAAAACGGGGTTGGCGAGGAAGCCCAGGAAAAGGCCGTGGCAGGGGCAGGGTCTGCTGCTCTGCCTCTGCTCCCTGGGACTGCCCCCGCCCCTGGACCGGAGGGTGCCCCCGCGGTCCAGCTGCTCATCCTCCCAATTTGTCCATCAAGGAGCAGGTGTGTGGCCTGTGTGGGAATTTTGATGGCGTCCAGAACAATGACCTCACCAGCAGCAGCCTCCAAGTGGAGGAAGACCCCGTGGACTTCGGGAATTCCTGGAAAGTGAGCGCGCAGTGTGCCGACACCAGGAAGGTGCGTCTGGGGTCTCCGTGCGGGCGGAGCCTGCGGGCCCTGCTTCCTGGCAGGTCTGGCCCCTTGGCCATGCTCCTGGGGGTTGGAAGGTGGGTGGCGGGTGGTGTGAACTGCAGGTGGCTGCGGGGCTGGGGAGGAGGGTCTCTGGATCCTGGGTTGAGTATCCCTAGTGTGGCTGACAGTTGGTCTATCTGTGCACTCTTGCCCTGTTCCCAGGTGCCGCTGGACTTGTCCCTTGCCACCTGCCACAACAACCTCATGAAGCAGACGATGGTGGATTCCTCCTGTAGAATCCTCACCAGTGACGTTTTCCGGGACTGCAACAGGCTGGTGAGGGTCGCCAGGGTAACGGGGGCGGAGTGGTCCTAAGGCTTGGCCCTGTGGCGTGGGCACTCAGGGCATGACCTCCCAAGGCGGACACTCCCCTGGAGTCTTGAAATGACCGGCAGCAGGACACCACTGCAGTCCTTTCTCGGCTTCGGGCTGGGAAACCAAAAGGGAAATCAGCAGTTTCTAGGGAAGCAATGCCCGGCAGAGCCTTTTCCTTCTGCACGGAAGGACCTTTCCTTGGCATGTGCCAGCGCTTCTCTTCTGGCCCCCTCTTAGGTTCCTTCCCCAGTGCAGCGTTGCGTCGCCAGCACCAGAGCCCGCTGGTGCCCTGTGTCTCCCGCCCTGCGAACCGCCCCAGCCTCCACCCCAAACCCCTCGGTGCCCACTTCTTGTCTCACAGAACCTCTTCTCTGGCCTTAACTCTAGTGGTTTTGAGTCCTCATTTTGTGACTCCTTTTGTAGCTTGATCTTAAATATCGGTGAGGAATTCCCCAAAGCTCAGTGCGGTTCTCTCCCTCTCTGTGTATGTGCGCACACGTGGATGTGGGTGTGTGCATGGGCAGACACGCACAGCCATGCGTGCATCCGTGCTGCTGTGGAGCGCCACCAACGTGGGGTCCCTGGGGGACACGTAGATCTCGTTCTCTTTCTCTCTGTCCGATGATTCTCAGTCCCTGGGGACTCCAGTGGATACTCAGGATTCCTGGTGTGTGGAAAGGCCGGGCATCTGAGTGGGAAGGGTGCAGGCAGGGACAGGTGTCGGGGACGTCAGGACTGTGGGAATGTCTCAGAAACAACGACCCACTTAGTGTCTGAATTCGTTTCCATCACAACTGCCCTGAAAAGGCCAGTGTGTGTACTGGCATGTTTTGGGAGCAAGGCGGGGAGGGCAGTGGTTAGTGTGGTTGAACGTGGGTGGCGTGGACTTGGGGTCAGGGTCTAGGTTGTTCTGCTGTCCAGCATACTTGCTCTGTAGCATGGCTGTGTATTTGTGTTCACGTGAAAACACTCAGACACCCAGGAGGCTAGCAGTGGGCTGTGGGGATGGACTGATGACCGAGCAGGGGTGGGCAGATGGGCAGAGAGATGTTCTTGTGAAAAATCCTTCGGCACATCTGATTCTGCGAAAGGCAGCAGCACTGCTTTATTGCACATTTTTTGCTGGAGTCCGGATTGGAAATGAAGATCTTACCTTTTAGCCCATTCCCTCTTTGGGACCATTGACCTACATTTCCCCTTCCACCTGGGAGCCCCTTTGACCTTAAACTGACTCTAGAACATTCCCACCCAGACTGAGAGCCAGAGCCCCTGACTCGTGGCCCTAGGCCTAGGCCACCTGAGGCTCACTTTGCAGGTGGACCCGGAGCCGTACCTGGACGTGTGCATTTATGACACCTGCTCCTGCGAGTCCATCGGGGACTGTGCCTGCTTCTGCGACACCATTGCTGCCTACGCCCACGTGTGTGCCCAGCACGGCCAGGTGGTGACCTGGAGGACGGCCACGTTGTGCCGTGAGTCCTGGTGCTCCTCGTGGTCTCAGACACCCGCCCTGCCGCCCTCGAGTGTCTAGACCCTGAGACCTTGCGGGGCAGGAGGATACTCAGGGCAGAGCGGGTGGAGCGCGCGTAGCGGGCGGCTGGCCACGGTGAGGAGAGTTAGGACACCGGCTGGGCGAGGAGCTCCCACTGCGGGGGAGGAGGGCGTGGATTCAGGACATGGATACGTGGAGAATTCCCTTCTGGAGAAATTCTGGAAGAAGGAGAGAGAGCACTGCTGAAGAGAAGGAAGTCATATACGCCCTTCGCTAGACACTGTCATATTTGCCAGTGTGAGTGAGGAACTTATCCTCCGTGTAGAGTCTGCCTTCCTTGGGCGTAAGTGACTTAATGTTTTTATATGGAAAACTGATTCGCAACCACTAGATTCCTGGTTAAGCTGCTTCAGTCATCCAGAAGTCTCTTGGTGGTTCTGTGGGCCATTTGTTTCCCACACGATCTCCAGCTCCCCCCGGGCCGTCACCACACGAATCCGCAGTCCTGGCGTCTCGGGTTGCAGAGGACTGACTGCTTGTGGCTCCCGTGGTCACGTGGCCTTGTCTCCTGTCTACCCAGCCCAGAGCTGCGAGGAGAGGAATCTCCGGGAGAACGGCTATGAGTGCGAGTGGCGCTACAACAGCTGTGCGCCCGCCTGTCCTGTCACGTGCCAGCACCCCGAGCCGCTAGCGTGCCCCGTGCAGTGCGTGGAGGGCTGCCACGCACACTGCCCTCCAGGTGAGGCCTCCGTCCCCGGGTGGGGGCGGCCAGGGAGTGGGAAGGCGCTTCTCCGTCCTGCGTCCTCTCAGCCTCTGCCCCGGGGCCCTGTCCCCTCTCTGCCACCCCATCCCAGGTTCTGTTTTGTGGGTCCTTTCACAAAGCCAGCTGTGCTTTTGTCCAAGTTGAATGCCAATAAAACGCTTTCATGCGCCTATTTACGATTTTATCATCTAGAGTAGCACTTTCTCCTAGAACTTTCTGCAATGGTGGCAATGTTTTATTGAATGCAGTGGTGGCTAGCGTGTCTGAGGAATTGAAACTTTAGTTTTATTGAATTTTACTGAATTTAAACTTAAATAGCCACAGTGGTTCATGGCTGCCATACTGTACGGCACAGCTGTAGAGTGATTGAGTCCATCCTTTGGGAGAGTGAACAGGTCCTTGGAGGTGAGGTTTCGTGTGTCCTGAGGCTTAGGGGAGGTGAGCAGGGTGAAGGAATCACTCTTCCGGTGTTGCAGAGGGACAAACCCAGGCACACGGAGGAAGGAAACCCCCTGAGTGGTGAGCTGACCCCTGGGCGTGGGGCAGGCAGAGGGGCGGGCCCCTTAAGTTAAAGGTGCGTCTTCATTCTGGGGAAGGGCAGGGTTTCAGCTCCTCACGAGAGCTTTGTCGTGCAGGGAAAGTCCTGGATGAGCTTTTGCAGACCTGCATCAACCCCGAAGACTGCCCGGTGTGCGAGGTGGCTGGCCGGCGCTTAGCCTCAGGGAAGAAAGTCACGCTGAATCCTGGTGACCCTGAGCACTGCCAGATTTGGTAAGACAGAGTGTCACTGCCTTCCCTGGGGGCCTGCGCAGAGACAGGCTTTGGCACAGTCTCCTTGCTGCGGGAGCTGACAGATCGAGTTTATTTATTTATTTAGTTTGTTAATGAATGGAGGAATAATTTAGTGCAGTTTATTGTTTAGTTTCTTTCTAGAGTTTGCTTTTTTTTCTTTAAGGACAGAGTAGATTGATCCCCCCACAAAATATTTAAGAGCTTTTTACCTCCTAAGAGGTTTTCTTTTTTTCCCTCTTTCCAGAAAAAGCTCAGGCACATCTCCTAAGAGGTTTCTGCCTATTAAGAATGAAGGTTTTCATTCTTCTCACCAAAGGCAGGGTGTGATCTCTTCTTGTCCCTGTCGGCCACGGCTAGTCTGAGGACAGGAGTCTATGAAAGCCAGGTTTCTTTTTGACTGCAGGGGGGTGCAGGGAGGACCGTGAGGCGGAGCCCCCCGAGTAGAACATGGGCATCTTGGGGGCCACAGTCGAGGTCCAGGGCAAGCTTCCGCAATGGGGAGGGAGGACAAGCTGTCGCCCTGGGTGCTCGCTGGAACTGCCTCTGGGAAACCAGCCTTTGGGGAGGTGGGGAGGCCTCGGGGTGAGCGCTGAGCTTTCTGAAGTCCTGCTCTTAAGTGGGGAACATTTATTAAAATGTTGATCTGTTCAACACCACTCCCTGACACCAGTCAAGCCTTCTGGGAACTTAAACTTGAGAACTTGCATTCGCTGGGGAGGGGGCCGTGGCCACAGCTGCCCGAGTCAGAACGTGCGGCCACCATCTGTGCAAACAAAGTGAGCACCGTCTGGGGTGAGCTTCCTAGCAAACACAGGAAACTAGAAAGTATGTCGATCACACACCGTTAACCAAGGATTGAAGCAATAAATCGTGCAGATTACAAGGAAGTAGGAGTTAACTTCCCGGTGAGACCTGCTGAAACGGGACTGAGGAATAAAGGATGAGGCGAGACTGGCGCTGGCTTCGGCTTCTGAGCCCGGAGGGCAGGAGAGCCCAGAGCCTCCCCACCTTCGCCGCAGGGCCGTGTGCACTCGAGTTTGGACGGGCTGTGCGCAAGAGTCCCGCAGCAGGCTGGCCACGTCTCCTGGCACCCGAGAGGACAGTCCCAAGGGCTCAGGGCACTGCTGCCTTCTCAGCCGTACTGGGCGTGCCGAAGGCAAGTTGCCTCAAAGGCTGAGGGGACAAAGAGGAGAAGGCCCGAGGCTGTATCTATCAGTCTCCGCCCCAGGGCCACCGATTTCCCTGTACTCTGGCATGCCTTGCCACTTTGCAGGCCGAGGGCAAAGGGGGGCGTGACCAGAGAGCCTGGAAACTCAGCATGGTAGTAACGTAGGTTTGTGCGGGCACCTGCTCTGCTGTGCACCTGTGCACTTGGGGCTGGGCACGGGGCTGAGCCAGTTCCTGGCACGTAGTAGGTGCTCGCCACACGTCTGTTGAGGAAAGAACGGATGAGCCCCTGTCTTTTCCCAAGTCTGAGACCTGGAGACCCCCATCTGCTATTCCCAGATACTTAGTTTTGCTAGATGAAGCTGGGGATTTTTGAATATTTATTTGTCTTTCCAAAATGTTTTTACTCTAGTTCTGTTTTTTATCTTCCTTAAGCCCAACATATTAAACACGTTTTCAAATTCATACAATTTAAGTTCTGTTATAATAAACACTGTAAAGCATTTATCTTCAACAGAACATTTACAAGAATAGGTCAGTGTCAACATTTTAGTGCAGCATTTGTTCTTGGAGATACTCGTAAGAAGGCTTGGATTATAATGAAATACTTAAGTTGCTAGAGATCTCTGTTGAAAAGAAATAAACTTTGAATGGCTGTGTGGATGGCCTAGAACAGGGGTCCTCAAACTTTTTAAACAGGGGGCCAGTTCACTGTCCCTCAGACCTTTAGAGAGTGCTCACTGTGGGCCTGGGACGAGTTGGCTGCTAAGCAGGACAGGCAGCGGCAGCAAAAATACCCGGAGGGCCAGATAAATGTGCTAGGTGGCCACATGTGGCCCGTGGGCCGTAGTTTGAGGATGCCTGGTCTAGAACAACAAAGATTATTTTTCATATCCTAGGATGGGTTAAAGTTTTGGCTTTTAGAATCAAGGAAAGCCTGTGCTGTGTGTGTGTGTGTGTGTGGTGGGTAGTATTTGGGGACAGATGTTAAACAATGACATCTCACTTGGGTGGAGAATACTCTGTGGATCTCAGGTTCAGGTGGGCTGGCCAGGCAGTTTTATGGGAGTGTGTGTCTCGGTCCTATACTGCTGGGCTGAGGAGTGCCCGTGGGTGACTCCTGGACCATTTCGGTTTCCTCCCTCTGCCACAGCCACTGTGATGGCGTCAACCTCACCTGTGAAGCCTGCCGGGAACCGGGAGGCCTGGAGGTGCCCCCAACGGAAGCCTCTGTGAGCCCCACCACCCCGTATGTGGAGGACACCCCGGAGCCGCCCCTGCACGACTTCTACTGCAGCAAGCTGCTGGACCTGGTCTTCCTGCTGGACGGCTCGTCCAGGCTGTCCGAGGCGGAGTTTGGAGTGCTGAAGGCCTTCGTGGTGGGCATGATGGAGCGGCTGCACATCTCCCAGAAGCGCGTCCGCGTGGCCGTGGTGGAGTACCACGATGGCTCCCACTCCTACATTGGGCTCACGGACCGGAAGCGGCCGTCGGAGCTGCGGCGCATCACCAGCCAGGTCAGGTATGCGGGCAGCCAGGTGGCCTCCACCAGCGAGGTCTTGAAGTACACGCTGTTCCAAATCTTTAGCAAGATCGACCGCCCCGAAGCCTCCCACATCACCCTGCTCCTCACGGCCAGCCAGGAGCCCCCGAAGATGGCCCGGAACTTGGTCCGCTACGTCCAGGGCCTGAAGAAGAAGAAGGTCATCGTGATCCCCGTGGGCATTGGGCCCCACGCCAGCCTCAAGCAGATCCGCCTCATCGAGAAGCAGGCCCCCGATAACAAGGCGTTCGTGCTCAGCAGCGTGGACGAGCTGGAGCAGTGGAGGGACGAGATCGTCAGCTACCTCTGTGACCTTGCGCCTGCAGCTGCTCCCCCCACCACGCCCCCCAACACAGCACAGGTCACCGTGGGTCCTTCGCCGCCGGGACCGAAGAGAAACTCCATGGTTCTGGATGTGGCGTTCGTCCTGGAAGGCTCGGACAAAATCGGGGAAGCCGACTTCAACAGGAGCAGGGAGTTCCTGGAGGAGGTGATCCAGCGGATGGACGTGGGCCAGGACGGCATCCACGTGGCGGTGCTGCAGTACTCGTACGCGGTGACCGTGGAGTACCCCTTCAGCGAGGTGCAGTCCAAGGGCGACGTCCTACAGCGGGTGCGAGAGATCCGCTTCCGGGGCGGCAACGGGACCAACACGGGGCTGGCCCTGCAGTACCTCTCTGAGCACAGCTTCTCTGCCAGCCTGGGGGACCGGGAGCAGGCGCCCAACCTGGTCTACATGGTCACGGGCAGTCCCGCCTCTGATGAGATCAGGCGCCTGCCAGGAGACATCCAGGTGGTGCCCATCGGAGTGGGCCCGCGTGCCAGCGTGCAGGAGCTGGAGAGGATCGGCTGGCCCAACGCCCCCATCCTCATCCAGGACTTTGAGTTGCTTCCCCGGGAGGCTCCCGAGCTGGTCCTAAAGGGCTGCTGCTCCGGAGAGGGGCTGCAGCTCCCCACCCTCTCCCCTGTCTCAGGTATGCTGGCGCTGTGTGCAGGCGGGAGGGCCGGGCGAGGGCTGGGGTCCTCGGCACTGCGTGACTCCTGGGCTCCCTCCCCTCCCGGGCAGGGAGAGACCTTATGACCCTTTTTTTGGGGGGGGGGAGGACCTTTTCTTATTGTGTGTGTTTGTAAATTCAAAGGTACTACAAGCCTATTGTTAAAATCTAACCATACCAAGGCTAAGGGGTAAAAACCGCAAGTCTTACTTTATCCCTCAGCCCCATCCCACCCAGTCCCACGCTCTGCTGTGAAGGTGACCTGTTAAATTTGGCGACAGTAGGCTCCCCTTTGACTGCACTGGGTGGGTGGAGTTATTCCAAGTGGCTGGCATTCTTTGGGGCAAGGCCAGGAAGTCAAGTGACAGGCGGCAGGCAAGGTCCTCGGATTCTGCAGCGACTGCCCTTGTTTCAGTCTCACCTCTGCCACTTGCTAGCTGGGTCATTTTGGGCAAGTACTGAACCTCTTCGTATATCAGTCTCCTCATCTGTGGAATGGGGCTAATAACAATACCTACTTGTAAAATGCTTACAACAGTACTGGCACATGGCAAGTGCTCAAAGAAATGCTCGCTACCCCTGCTGTCATTGTTGCCTTTTTATCGGATGCTGGTGTTGAGTCAAGTCCTAGTTCTCGAATGCCTTTACTTGGTGTGTTTGGGAATAACTCGCTTTCTTGCAGTGTCTCTTGATGCTCACACTTGTTACAAGCTTTTGTTTCTTGGTTTTTATTTTTAATCAGAGCTTGAGATTTATTTAAAGTCTTGTAATATTTCTGCTGAGGAGAACAGTGAGAGCATCGTCTTATCAAATCTGAGAATGTTCTCAGACCTTAACACTCACAGTGCCTTCACCCACCCTGTAGGACTTGAGCACACACAAGCTCATTTTCCAGGGAGATGCTGCTGCTGTTTCCTTTTTCCACTCAGTTCTAGAAGCATGGCAGCGTCCTGTTACTGAGGGAGTGGGCGCCTGCTGCTTTTGTTTGTGGGCATCTAAACTTCCTGGTAGAGCTGGAGTCTCCTGCGTGTCTCCAAACCTGAGGTCCTCACGGGCCCAGGAACTCCATCTCTCGCTCCCCTCTTCCCTGGCCCACGTGGCCCCCACGCTAATGAAGATCCCCTTCCCCTGGTGGTGCCACGAGGTCTGCGTGCCCCGCAGAGCCTGCCGGATGTGGAGTCAGGCTGTGGGCTCCCCGCGGCGCCTGTGTGCTCACCCCCGGCCCCCTCTGCAGACTGCAGCCAGCCCCTGGATGTGGTCCTCCTCCTGGATGGCTCCTCCGGCTCTCCGGCTTCCTACTTTGATGAGATGAAGAGTTTTGCCAAGGCTTTCATTTCAAAAGCCAATATAGGTGAGAGATGCACCTGGAGCAGCAGGTGAGGAAGGGGCTCTTGCTGGGGCTCTGCTTGACCCCGAGTGATTCCCATCTGTCCTTCCTGGTAGGGCCTCATCTTACTCAGGTGGCCGTGCTCCAGTACGGAAGCGTCGCCACCCCCGACGTGCCGTGGGCTGTGGCCCAGGACAAGGCCTACCTCCTGAGCCTGGTGGACAGCATGCAGCGGTGGGGAGGCCACAGCCAAATCGGTAACGTTGGTGCCACAGGCCCCTGCAGAACCTGTGTTCTGGTCCTAGGTCTTGGCATAAGTGACTGAGTGACCTTGGCCACTCACTTTGCTTCTTGGTCCTGGATGCCTTTCCTGTAGAGTGAGGGGCTAGATGCTCTTCCGGGTCTCTTCCAGATCTCAGTTGTGTGTTCCTCTGAGTCCCTGAACAGCTTCTGAACAATCGAAGGACCCACACGAGAGAGGGTGCCCAGCTGGTTTCAGAAACACCGTGTCTTGCAGTCAGTGCTGACTTGGCGTGCTGTGTCCCTCCACTCTCAGGCAATGGTTTGGACGTCGCTGTGCGCTACATCACTTCAGAAGTCCACGGTGCCAGGCCTGGAGTCTCCAAGGCCATCGTCGTCCTGGTCGTGGGGGTCTCCACGGATCCAGTGCAGGCGGCGGCTGATGCTGCCAGATCCAACCGTAAGTGGCCAGTGTGCGGTCAGTCCTGAGACTCTTCTAAAATGACAGAGGATTGGAAGTGGGTAGGGTTACTTTTAGATATTCTGGGTGATGGTTTTACATATACTCAATACCCCACATGTGGCCTGGTTTTGGACAGCAGGAAATTGAGCAATCTGAAAATCAAGCAGTAATGAATGTGTGTTGATCCTGTACCTGCCTGTGTGCTTTAGATTGTAACCTTTATTTTCTCTACATTTTCCCTTTGTGTCCAGGAGGGATCACACCTCTGTACCTTTCCTTTATAGAGTATACCCTTGGTCTCTCACCAAAATGCCCTGAGGCCAGAGTGACTTATTGTAGGGCCTTGGGAACCATCCGGGACCTTCATGCATTCAGAGCCCTCTCCCGCTACCAGGCTAGTGGGCTTGTGGGGCTGGGTGGACAAGAGACAAGGATGATGCTTTAGGAGGGGAAGGATGCAGATGGGACCCAGCCTTGCTGCCCCATGGGAACTCGGGCTGCGAGGAGCAACAGAGTGTGAGCCAGGACAGGAGGTGTGGTCCAAGGGACGACCTTCTAGCGGAGGGAGGTCTGGGGAAGTGGACATTAAGTCCCCTGATGGCCACCTGGAGAACTGCTCATCTTTCAAAACCCCTGCCTAGGAGTTGTCTTTCCTCTGCCGTCTACCTGATGTTCCTCTGGAGAGTTATTCACTCTGCTCTCTGTACCACGGCGACCTGCTCAAAATGTGCAAAGCATATTGTGTTGTTTGTTACATCTCTCTTTCTTGCACAAACTGGGAGTTCTTCGAAGGCAAGGGGAAAATCTTGCTTAATTTTGGATCATCTGTGCATGCTGCATAAATAGGGTACCATTTAATGTTTGTTGAATGAAATGAATGTGGCATGTTTATGAAATCTATTATAATATTTTAGGGAAAAGAATGCTAAAAGGTAAAGGATATGTATTTGGATGACATAATGAGCTTAAACGAGCTGAAAAGTTGTTAGTAGAAAATCAACTCTAACTGTAGGCAAATTGCAAATACCTAGAACCTTCTGGAGAAGTGAATTGGAGAATTTCAGGGTAGAGATTTTTCTCCTTTATTATTAAGACTCCAAAGAAGGACTTTCATCAGGAAAGGAAGCAGTTGTGGTCTAGAGGAAAGAGACATGATCTAGGGAAAGTCATTTCATCATTCAAAGCCTCAGTTTCTCATCGGCAAGTGGGTATGCACGTACCCCCGGCTTAGCCCCACAGCACTTTCTCTTCTCTTCCCAATACCCTGTTGGGCGTCTCGTTCAGTGCTATGGGTCTAAATACATTTGTGCACCACTGTCTTGGAAATTCTCCTCTCCAGCCTTGACCTCTCACCACAACTCAAGCCTAGATGTTCTAAGGCAATTTAGACTTTCACACCCAAATCTCCTCCTCCTGCAGTCTTTCTCTTCCTAGAAAATGGCAATTCCGACCTTCCAGTTGTTCAGGTCGAAAATCTTAGCATCCTTGATTCCTCTTTCTCTCACACCTCTATGCAGTCCATCAGCAGGCTATACCGAGAGATGCAGCACTGCACGCCACCTGCACTCACGTCGCCCCGTCCAAGCCCCATCATCTCTGGATTATTAGTGTAGTTTTCCAACGGGAAGCCCAGCTTCGCCCGCTCCCCGTCCCCTGCAGTTCTTTCTCAGCATGGTGGCTGCAGCAGTCTGCTCCACAGCCTTGGCCGGCTTTCTTGCTGTGGCTGGCGGGGTTTTGCAGGGTCTGTGCCCGCCCCTGTCTGGCTGACTTCGCTCCAGCCACCCTGGAGCATGCGGCCGGACTTCTGCTGTGGGGCCTCTGCACTCCCTGTCCTCTCAGCTTGGGGTGTTCCTCCGCAGATGCCCCTTGGCTCCTTCCATCCTTACTCAGGTCTCTGCTCATCCCCTCCTCCCGACCCAATTTTGTTTTTTCCTAAGTACTTAATCCACATCTGAAATACTATGTGTTCACTTTTGTGTGTTTCTTGTCTGTCTCTCCACAGTGGAAGCTCCCTGAGAACAGGGACAGGGAATTTATCTGCTTGCTTCACTGCTGTGTCCCCCTGCTTAGAACAGTACCTGACACACAGTAGGCGTTCATCAGTGTGTGCTGGCTGAGCGTCAGTGTGAGGACTGAACATCGTCCTCACAGGGTTGGCGCATGTGACCAGTCCAAAAACACGAAGCTTCACACAGATGCTGGATATAGCATCAGGCCAGTCCATTTGGAGCCACCTGCCCACACACCATTCTTGTTCCTCTGCTCACTCTAGGAGTGACAGTGTTCCCCATTGGAATTGGGGACCACTATGATGCAGCCCAGCTGAGGGTCTTGGCAGGCCCAGGGGCCAGCTCCAACGTGGTGAAGCTCCAGCGGATCGAAGACCTCCCAGCCATGGTCACCTTGGGCAATTCTTTCTTCCACAAACTGTGCTCCGGTGAGTCTTATAATACTTGCTCACTCCTCTCCAAGAAAAAAAACCCCACAAAAACCCATGAAAATGAAAATACCATTCTAGAGACCCAAGGGTGCTCACGTATAAGATTTGCCATTGAATGAAGATTGTTATATACCAGGACCCTTAAGTTTCTGCTCATGGAAGGTGTACAGTACACATGTCCAAGGGGCAGCAGAGGGTTTTCTGTGTATGGTCCTCTTGCCACTCTACTTTCCGTCTGAACTTTAGCAGAAAAGCCTGTGCTTATTCATGCCAAGGGATCTTGGACAAAAGTATCGAATACAGGTCAGCTGCTTCTTCCCCAGGGCCCTATATTCATTGTTAGCATGGGTAAAAAGGGCCTTAGCAATAAGATAACATGGAATCTCACATCAAAGTACCATAGGTTTTTTTTTTTTTTTTTCTGAGACAGAGTCTCACTTTGTTGCCCAGGCTAGAGTGAGTGCCATGGCGTCAGCCTAGCTCACAGCAGCCTCAAACTCCTGGGCTTAAGCAACCCTTCTGCCTCAGCTTCCCGAGTAGCAGGGACTATAGGCATGGACCACCATGCCTGGCTAACTTTTTCTATATACTTTTAGTTGTCCAGCTAATTTCTTTCTATTTTTAGTAGAGATGGGGTCTCACTGTTGCTCAGGCTGGTCTTCAACTCCTGATCTTGTGTGATCCTCCTACCTCAGCCTCCCAGAGTGCTAAGATTACAGGTGTGAGGCACCATGCCTGGCCAGTACCATAGTTTAAGTTGATTTTAGGTTAGAAACTTTTAAAAAAGAATGATTTTTCTTCCTGATTTTGTGTATTTTCCTAATGTTATTAGCTGTAAGTCCAAACCTGCTGCAGAGTTATTGCCTTTCCCTCTAGATGGTAGCTCCCCGGGGAGGAATCTTCAAGTAGATCTGTTTCAAGTTTTCAAGGCCTTGCTTCACCTTCCTGCCCTCCCCAACCCTGGCGGCGAGCTACATATGGAAGGCGACCACGACTGGATGATTGAGAAGGCTTCGGCGCTGTAGTTATTGCCATATTGTCATTGTTGTTGTTGTCAGCATAATTATTGACAACCACAAAGCTGTCTGCAGAAGCCCAGAATGACCACCTCTTAACCTGTGTCCCTGCTGTGAAGTCATTCCCATTCTTTACAGAGTTGAGTTGACTTCAAAGACTAGCGCAGGTTGCCCAAGCGGGCATTGTGAATTGTTTAGAACTCCTGGGTGATATGTGGGAACTGAGGTCTCACTTGTGTCTGTTTCAGAGTTCGTAAGAATTTGCATGGATGAGGATGGGAATGAAAAGAGGGTAAGTTCCTTTCTGTTGGCTTTGAAAGAAAGATCAGAAAGGTAGGTTTGGGGCCCTTGTTCCCACTGGTTAATTTTTCCTCCTTTGGTCTTAGTCCAGTTTTCTCTCTTACTGTGATCCTGGTTTTGCAGATCTACCCGACACCTTGTGTTCTGCTTCTTGTCTCATTAGCAGGTCTCCTTGCCTTGTAGGCCTGTGTCCAGCTCCAGTGGTCGGTTGCCCGGTAGCTGGGCTCAGCGTTGGAATACCTCATCCTACTTCCTGCCTGAATCTGGTGTTTTCTTCTGCAGCCTGGGGACGTCTGGACCCTGCCAGATCAGTGCCACACTGTGACTTGCCAGCCAGATGGCCAGACCTTGCTGCAGAATCATCGGGTCAACTGTGACCGGGGGCCGAGGCCTTCATGTCCCAACAGCCAGTCCCCTGTTCGGGTGGAAGAGACGTGTGGCTGCCGCTGGACCTGCCCCTGTGAGTCTTTGTCCTCACCAGCCCGGACAGTGTCAAGGGCAGGGCTTTTAGCCCGCTGTGCAGAGAGGTGGAGCAGAAGCCAGCCAGCCCGGAGCAGCCCTTCCCCCTCACTGCATGCACGGTGCCGCCTGCACCTAGTCCCTCCCTCACCTGCTCCCTGGACGAGTTTTCCAGTCTTGGGGATCACTGCGCTCTTCCTCTGTCTTTGGAAGGCGTTTCTCCAGATCCACATCACCAGGAGGAAGAATTGCTTTTCGGAGATCAGTGCTCAGCTTGGGTGTTGGCAAGTCAAGCTTTAGGAATCTGTGTATTAACATTTGGGGTACAGCAGTGGACGTCCGGCAGTAACTGGCCTGGTTTAAGTCTGTCTCATGCCACCATGGGGGTGGCACAGCCCTCTGCCTCGTGTCTGGGAGACACGGCTGCCCATGTTGCCCTCTACTCAGTAGTGGGTTAACCATGACGTTGAACAGACGTAGCTTATGGGATGCAATCAAAGCTACATTTTATATCTCACTCTTCCTTTGGAATTTACTTAATGGGACAAGTTTCCCTCCTGGCCTTGATGAAAACTCTACCAGATCTCATGTTATTTCTGTTCATTCATAAAGAATTCGATGGTCACTTGAAGTCATATAACAGTCTCAATTGGTAATTGGATGCCCCTGGGAAAGGGATTGTGGTCAGCTTCTCTCCCAGCCTGGAGCATGGAGAGTGGGGAGTTGAACAGTGGACCAGAAGGTTCCATGTGGCCAGCACAGCTGTGCGAGGGCTGTGCACTCTCTGGCCTGGCAGGCGTTTGTGGCAGCCTTTCTCTTGCTAGATCTCTCGAGGACTTCCTTGCTGTGCTCCTCCAATGCTCAATCCTAGGGCGCAAGCAGCAGCCTGTATCCTTGGCCTGGCTGCTGCTTCTCCTGCTCAGCTTCTGTTTTTTCTGCATTCAACCCTTCGTAGACTGTCTTTCTTTTGCAGTTCTCCTTACTCTATAGCAGAAGTTCTCTTAAACAGGATCACTTTTTTTTTTTTTTGGAAACAGAATCTCACTCTTTTGCCCTGGGTAGAGTGCAGTGGGTTGTAGCTCACTGCAACTTCAAACTCCTGGGCTCAAGCAATCCCCCTGCCTCAGCCTTCTGAGTAGCTGGGACTACAGGCATGCACCAGCAGGCCTGGTTAATTTTTCTATTTTTAATAGAGATGGAGTCTCACTCTTGCTCAGGTTGGTCTCGAATTCCTAAGCTCAAGCAATCCTCCTGCCTCAGCCTTCCAAAGTACTAGGATTACAGGTGCAAGCCACCGTGCCTGACCAGGATCACTTTTAAAACAATCCTAGGCCATCGTTCCTTCTGTAAGTCCTGTGTATGGTCCCTTGGATTTATGCACCTTTTTCCTACCATGGTAGGGGGATGTACTTGTTTTCCCAAACAGCAGCAAATCTCTCTCCTGTTGGCTGGCCACTTCTGGCCAATAGCCACAGCTTCTCTCTCTTAGATTCTTGGGACGTGTGTGAGGCACTGGTCCGGTGTCCGCATGACTGCATGGAACACAAACCCGCCTCTTGGAGTGGCCTCCTGAAAGTCCCGCTCACTGGGCTTGGGCCTCCCTCGTGTGCCTCTGGGGGCAAGTGAGGATGTGGGACTCACACACTGCAGATGCTCTTTGCAAATAAATCTCTTTTTAAATCTAGTTCATCAACACCCTCTTAAGTCTTTATATACACTTAAAATGCGTGAAGGCCTTCAGGAGTGATAAAACTGGATGGTGGATATTATTTTGAAAAACATCTTAAAAGAAAAATATTTGTTAAAAGTTTTTATCTTGAATAATTTCAGACTTAACATATTGCAAAAATAGTACAAGGAATTCCTATATACCTTCACCCAGATTGCTACATAATCACAGTATAATGATCAAAATCAGAAATTAGCATCCATGAAATACTATTATCTTATTCAGATTTTACCAACTGGCCTACTAATGTCCTTTCTTCTGGTTTAGCATTCAATCCAGAATCACATATTACATTTAGTTGTCATGTCTCTTTAATCTCCTTAAATCTGGAACAATAGCTTAGTCTTTCTTTGACTGTGACCTTGATGTTTTTGAAGAGTACTGGCCGGTACTTTTTAAAAACATTTCTCATTTTGTGTTAAATTCAGATTATAGATTTGATCGAGAATACCACAGAAGACATACTGTGCCTTTCGCCACTGTGTCGTATAAAGAGGCAGGTGATGCCAATTTGCCCTGTGTAAGTGTGATCGCTTGGTTTAGGTGGCCTTCACCAGGATTTTCCACTGTAAAGTTACAAATTTCCTCTTTGCATTTAATAATTATCATGTGCAGAGATCCTTTGAAACTGTGGAAATGTACTTTTAGCCACCAGGTTTAGCAATTCATTGATGATTCTTGGCTAAAACAATTTTTACCATGGTGTTTGCCAAATAGGGATTTTTGATTTTCATCATCCCTGCCAAATTTCTTATTTGGAATTCTGTGAAAATAATAGCTCTTTCTTATCTCTCATTTATTAATTTATTTATTCAATTATTTGTATTAATAAGAGCTCATGGATTTTTATTTATTCTATGTGGCATAATCGATTATAGCATTAATTGTTTTCTTGTTCAAATGATTCCAGATTTTGCCATTGCGAGTCCTTTCAATTTTGTCTCTCTTGTCCTTTTGACATGTCCACATTCCTTCCTTTCTCAGACAGTAAGAAGCTTTGCTCTCTTTCACAATATATTTATATATTTACTTAATCCCCAAATACACATAAAGTATGTGTATTTCAGGATTGTTAACCTATTCCTTTATGAAAAACAAATCTACTAACCAGAGTATAATATTTGGGTACTTCTTTTTGTCTTTAGTCTTGGAGTAAAATTTTGTTTTCCAAAGTTATTTAGTTTAGTTCCCCCCCAACCCCTTCCACTTAGTCATGTTATTAATATTGTTAGTTTAATTTCTGTTTGTATTCCATTTTGGGCTCCCCTCACACCTAGCCTTGTGATTTTACTTACATATTCATTTGTTTTTGTTATGTGAAGCATTGCCATGGTTCTAAATGTCAGCACTCTGCAGAAAGGTACCGTTGGGGAGTCACTCCCTCATTCCCTTTCCATCTTTCACCCAATTCCCATGCATTCTCTGGAGGTGTCCAATCCCATTCATTTCTTATTTATCCTTCCCGTGATTCTTTCTGTACAAATGAGTTTTACCTGTTTTGATTAAAACATAATCAAATTATGTTTTGGAATTTACCCGATACCAGTTCAAAGAAAGCTCTCTAGTACCCTCTTGGGTACTGTAGTTTGCTCAACTGTTCTATGTATGTGTATACAGGTTATTTCCAATATTTTGCAATTATAAACAATGCTGCAATGAATAATCTTGAGTGTATGAATTTTCATATAGTTGGTGGTATGTCTTCAGGGTAGATTCCTAGAAGTGATGCTCATGGGTCAAAAGATAAGTGCTTATGAAGTTTTTTTTAAGACATTGACAGATTCTTCTCCAAAAGGGAAGATTTGGTTGTGCAAAACTGGAATTTCTACCAGTTTGCTTTTCTATCAGCAATATGTGAGAGTGTGTGTTTTCCCAGGGCTTTGCCAAGAGAAATGGCAAAAGTGTTATTATGGTTTTTATTTTTTTGCTAGTTTCTTACTCTTTAGGTAAGAAATAGTATCTCAGTGTACTTGAAACTCATTTCTCTAAGGGTGAGTGAGGTTAAACATCTTTTCATGTGTTTCAGTGCCATTTTATATCTATTTTTGTGAAATATCTATTCATGTTTTTCCCCCATTTTCCCATTTAAAAATTATGACAAAAACACATAACATGACATCTATCCTCTTAGTACATTTTCAGGTATACAATGTAGTATTGTTAGCTATTTGCACACTGTTGTGCAGCAGATCTCTAGAACTTTTTGTCTTGTGTGACTGAAACTCTGCACGCGTTGAACAGCACTCCCCATGTCACCCCACGCCCGCCCCTCCAACCACCAGGCTACTTTTTCTTCTACGAGTTTGACAACTTTAGATACCTCATTTAAATGGAGTATTTGTCCTTCTGTGCCTGGCTTTTTTCACTTAGCATAATGTCCTCAAAGTTTATCTGTGTTGTAGCACATGTAAGGATTTCCTTCTTTTAAGACTGAGTAATATTCCGATGTATGTACAGCCCACAGTTTCCCCATCCCTCTGTCTGTCAGTGCACATTTAGGTTGTTTCCACCTCTTTGCTGTTGGCAATAGTGTTGCAGTGAACGTGGAAGTGCAGATATCTCTCTTGAGATCCTGATTTCAATGCTTTTGGATGAATACCCACAAGTAGGATTGCTGGATCATATGGTAATGCTATTTTTCATTTTTTTAGAGTCTCACTTTGTTGTCCAGGCTAGAGTGAGTGCCATGGCGTCAGCCTAGCTCACAGCAACCTCAAACTCCTGGGCTCAAGCGATCCTACTGCCTCAGCCTCCCGAGTAGCTGGGACTACAGGCATGCGCCACCATGCCCGGCTAATTTTTATATATATATATATCAGTTGGCCATTTAATTTCTTTCTATTTATAGTAGAGGCGGGGTCTCGCTCTTGCTCAGGCTGGTTTTGAACTCCTGACCTCGAGCAATCCGCCCGCCTCGGCCTCCCAGAGAGCTAGGATTACAGGCGTGAGCCACCGCGCCCGGCCTATTTTTCATTTTTTGAGGTACCTTTTTACTGTTTTCCATAGTGGCTACACCATTTTACATTCCCACCAACAATGCATAAGGGTTCCAGTTTCTCTACATTCACATTAACCCTTGGTATTTCCTGTTTTGGAGTGTGTGTGTGTGTATGTGTGTGTGTGTTTATAATGGCTATCTGCACATGTGTGAGGTGATATCTCATTGTGGTTTTGATTTGCATTTCCCTGATGATTAGTGATGCTGGATGTTTTTCTATGTACTTGTTGGCTTGTTGTGTGTCCCTTTGGAGAAATGTCTATTCAATTCCTTT